ATATACTCTTAGATGAACCATCAACTGGAGGTATAGACAGTGGTGAACTGTCACATAGGTACTGGGAACCTAACCCAGATCTTCTGGGAGAGGAGCTAGTGCTCCTAACCCTGACCCACCTCTACAGCCCCACCAAGAAAATATTTGACAACCTGTATCTACCATATAAATACCCTGTCTGCCTGTCGCACAGGTACTGGGAGATGAGAGAGCAGCGCACCCCCACCCTGAAAGGCAAGCTAGTTCAGAAGGCTGATCAGGAGCAGCAGGATCCGATGGAGTACCTCCAGTCTGATGAAGAGGACGATGAGAAGAGCGGCGCCCAGCGCCGGCTGCAGGAGCAGCGAGAGCGGCTGCATGGGGCCCTGGCACTCATTGAGCTCGCCAACCTGACTGGGGCGCCACTCCGCCAGTAGCCCCAACACTGACTCTTCACTGTACAAAAGTACTGCCCAGCATACTTACAAAGTAGATCCTTGGGCATAAGCTAAGCACCTTATTTGCTTATCATAGGCTGCTATTCTGTAGGAACTCATGAAGAATGTTGTTGCCTCAGACATGGGGTGAGAGAGAATTGCACTTTTTTTTTTATACAGAAATGGATTTGATGTAAAGTTTAAAATATTTTGTAAATATGGACTGCAGTTACAGGGTAGAAGCTATGTGTTGTGGGAAGCTAGGTTTTTGCAAGTTTAATGCATTCATTGGAAGCAGTTCTCACAGGAAGCACTTTGTGAATAAGACATTTGTGTGAAAAAACAGATTGGTACAAATAGCCAAAGAAGGTTGAAATAGATTATTTATAAGATCATTTTAAACAGTGTATGTTAGTATGTGTGACAGTACTGTAAACACTGAAGCGAGGCAGTGTGAGACATATGTATAAGATACATATTTTTAAATTGCAAAATAGTATGCCCAGTAAGGCTAGAGGCATGGGAGGCCAACTATTTGGAAAGATGTTATAAGTTATGGACATGGAAGAAAATAGGTGTTTGAGGATCTTGGTAAGGGGTAGTTGAAATTTTTTTTTTTTTTTTTTTAAATTGGTGTAAAATGAATCTTACCCCATTTTCTGGGCTTTTTAACTCACTGTAATATAATGCTGACGCTTAGAAAGCGCTCGTCACCCAGCTTGTTGACTGGGGACTTTTGCACATTGCTCAGCTGTTGGACCTGAGTGATTAATCTTGCAAAGTCTAGGTAACCCCGGCAACTGGTGCACATGTGTGTATGTATGTGTGTACACCAGTGAGCTCCTTTTTGGGCCCTGTAATGAGATTGGCACTTGTGTTTATATTAATAAAAGGGACATCTGCAGGGTTGTTTGTAGTGAAATGTTTTAGGTCTTTTGATAGTAAACACTAAATTTTAATTGTACTGCTTGTTTAGCATTAGTGGATGGAAGCCTCCATATTTATGTTTCAGTGCATATTGCCACCTTTCTGCTTCACTTCAGAATAACATGCCAAGCTATTTTGTGTTCACTAAATTTAGCTATCAGTTAAACACTTGAGTAAATATTAGCTACTCAAATATGCAGGCTTCTGAGATAGTTTTAACTGCAAGTGTGTTGTCTGGTGGTTCAAAACCATTTTCTCCAAATAGATGAAGTTATCAAACACACGTAGTGTACTGAGGCATGAACAGAGTCCCAGGGCCGAGCATCCATCTCTGTTATGGAGTCAGGAATCTGTCACTTGAGCTTTTGTTAAAAGGTGGATGAATGAAATTATATGCAGAACATGGTGATATAGACTCCTTAGTTGGAGGCTTCAAAGTAATAGGAGGAAGATGGGCTCCTCTGTGCCTTTTTTCTTTGAATTGAGATAGTACCCTACAAGTTTAGATCACACATTATTGAGAATGTAGGCTTTGTTATCAAAAATGTCTGTGGTTGTAGTCAACAGGTAAATTGTGTGACCTCGGAGACGGGAGGTAAGGAGATGTCTTGAGAAGCGCTAGCGTGAAACTGAAGAAGTGGTAGTTACAATAATGTGTATGATGAGGACATACTTTAAAAATGGAATTCCTCTGTACAGTCAATTACAGATCTTTAGGGGCTTTTGTAATAACAGAATTTATATTTGTAATGGTCTAAGAATTTTATTTGTAGTCTGGTATGTAGACTTTTTTTAACTTGAAGCACTTATAAGTATGGTAAGAGACCATAGCATCTGAATTTTCTTGATTTGAGGTTCCACAGTTTCTCTTAAAGTTTTTCCTAAGATGAATGGGAGTGTATGTATGGGTCCAAGTGCAGCACTCATCAGTACTGGGAACTTACTTTATGGACAGCAGTACAATTGGAAAAATGCAATTAGCCAGTTCACAGATGACAAAGGGTCTTCAAAAATTAAGGGCTAGGTTTTTTTTTTTTTTTTCCAGCTGACTTGTCAACCATTACAGTTATATTCCCAAGTATTTTTATTTGTATGATTGGACAATTTAAGAAATTACTCCAACTGCTTACCATTGGCCACGTTTTAAAGGGTTCTTTTTTTTTTTAATATAAGCTATATACTTGGACAAATACATTGGCATCTAAAATTTGAGGTGTGTTATGACTGCTTTTTGTTTTAAAAATGTGGTTACATTCAGATTTTTGAAGTGTTTTATGCTTCATATGGCTGAGTTGTAGTATGACAGAGTTAACAGCATATTAATAAACATGCTGTAATTTTAAAAGATGCTTTGAATAAAATTTTATTTTAATTTAAAGCTTAAAGTACATGGGTCATTCTTGCATTTTTTATAGTTTGTTTCTCTATCAAAAATAAAATAACTGATATAACAACAAAATCCTAGAAAGTAGAAACAACCCACAACCTAACATACTTTGGTTTTTTTGTTTGTTTGTTTGTTTTTTGTTTTCTTAGGTTGTAGGGACTGAATTCAGGGCGTCAAAAAAACTTAGACAAGCATCCTACCACTGAGCTACATCATATACCCAGCCCTCAGGCATCTTTTCTTTATACTGTTTCTTTAAAATTATGGTTTGAGACAGGGTCTCACTTTGTAGCCCTGGCTGGCCTGTAACTCGCTATGTAGATCTGCTTGCCTCTGCCTCCTGAGTGCTGGGATTGAAGGTTTGCCTTGTCAACACTGGCCTGGATTGTGGACATTAATTTCCTCACTTCGTTCAATATCGCAGTGCTAAGATTCTGCTGGGGAGATGGCCCAGTGGGCCAGGTACCTGCTGCATGAGTATGAGGGCTGGAGTCTGAGCTTCAGCATAACGGCTGGGTAGGGTGGTGCACGCCTCTAGCCCAAGGAGGGGACTCTGGTTTATCAGCCAATCTACTGGAAGTGGCAGGCTCCAGGTTCAGCCAAATTGGGGAAGGAGAGACTGAGGAAAGATCCCAGTGTTGCCACCCAGAGGTGGTGGCACACAACCTTTATCCAAGCAGTTAAGTATTAACTATTGCCAGCCCTATCTCAGGCCTTAGAGTAATAGGATTGTAGCGAGCCTGCCCTCCCTCGAGGGAATGGGGAACCCTTTGAACCTAACTAACTGTGGTGTGTGCAGGCCTCACAAACAATGCTAGTCAGGCTGTGGGATGGTAGTTAATACTGATGAAAAGCCCTGTGGTCACGTAAGACCATGAGAACAAATGAGAAGATGGTTAAGAGCACCCAAGTGCAAGCTTCTGGGATTAGTACCCCAGGAGGCTCTTCATGCCTGCTAGGCTGTAACTGACTTTAAAATACTGTTTTGCAAAGTTTGTGTGGAGAGTGACCAGAAACAGCGGATCTCTTGGAGGAAATCAACCCAAGTGACTGACTATATTCGGATTTTTCCTTTGTGATTTATTGTTAATTCTGGCTATGTTAGTGTACATCTGTATACACTGAGTATCCATGCCCGCTCGGGCCAGAAGCATCAGGTCCCCATGGACCTGGGGTTACAGGCATTTTTGAGCTGCTTGGTCTGCTTGGTGGAACGGGCTGGGTCCTCAACAAGAACTAGAGGTCCTAACCCCTGCTCTTCTCCGGTCCCTACTTCAGACTTTAAAATCTCATGTGCCTTTGCCCCCTCCCCCCCACACCCTTCGGATAATTTGTGCTCTTCTAACCAAAATTTTCAGTGGTAGGTCACTTCCCAAAAGTTCTGTTCAGCTTCCAATCCAACTGTTGGCAGTTTTAGCTTTTACACAATTAGGCTTCAGCTTTATTTGAAAGGAAATCTGAAGCGTTTCTAAAAAGCTAAAATTTCAGATTTTGAATTATTTAGAATTAAAAATATGAGACACTGTATTTGAAAATACTATTCTGCAGTTCGGAGCCTTTATTCACAAAAACAAGTGATCCTTCACTGCTGTCCAAGGGAGAAGTGGGCCCTGGGTGAGGGAGGCCTGAACTTTCCAAAAAGAGTCCAGAAAAAGGAGCTCAATACTTAGCTCCCCCTGCCCTGCTGCTCCAGGCCTAGGCATTTATGAACGAGAAACATAAGAGCTTGCCCTGCAGTGTGCCTGGAAGTGCTTTAGTAATAGTTGAACTTTAGGAACGGCCATCATTCCATCAATGGGGAACGGACGTAAGAGTAGCAGGGTGGTAGTTGGTGCTTCGAGCACGCGAACCATCCGAAGGAAGGTCTAGCCCAGCGCCACAGCCAAAGCTCTGTCGGGCAGGGCCTAGGGGAGCTGTTACCCTTTGCGGGGATGCTGAGCTTGGATTTGCGCGTTTGCTTGGGTGTATTCATTTGTCGGAAACGCATCTCAAACTAGGGACTCAGGCGCGTCCTGTAGGTTGTATATACTATTTTAAACAAACAAAACAACAAAAAGAGCGGAAGCGAACCTCAGCCTTGCTGGGGGGTGTGGCCTGGGAACGGTGTGCAGGACCCTGGGCTAGCGCCGGCTTTTCTGCACTACCCGGCGCTGGGCGCCTGGGAGGCGAGCGCGCACTAGGGGTGCGGGCCGTGGTCGGGGTTCGCGCCCCGGCTCTTCCTGTTCCTGCCGCACCCTCTTCCCGGGCGGCTGTGGGCGGGGCCGGCGGGCGGGCTGAGTGGTGGCGGGGCGGCGGCCGGCGGAGATGGAGGAGCCTGACGCGGCGCGGCTGCCCTCTCGCCTGGCCAGGCTGCTGTCGGCGCTCTTCTACGGGACATGCTCCTTCCTCATCGTGCTGGTCAACAAGGCGCTGCTGACCACCTACGGGTGAGGCTGGTTACGCGGGACGCAGGGTGGCCGGGGCCTGGAACGCCCAGTCTGTGCTTTGCCTTCCCCGGGTCACCACATGCGATCTGGGGCGCAGCACACACCAGCTGAACTTGGGAGTGCCGCCGCCGGTGCAGGCTCTAAATAAATACACCAACTGAGAAAAACTTTATTTTGAGACAGGTAGCTCACGCTGGCCTTGAGCTCAAATCCTCATGACAGCCTCCTTAGAACACTTGGCATCACAGGTGCGCAGCATCATAATAAACACACGCGTATTTTGATTAAAAAGTATTACTTTTTAATCTTTGTGGTGTTAGTTTTGAGACAGGGCTTCATGCATTCCAGGCTAACTTCAGGACTCCTTAGTAGATTTCCTGCCCCTACCTCAGGCGTATAACAGGTATGTAACACACCTGTTTACAGGGCTGGCTGGGGAAGCAGCTCAAGACTTTTTCATTGTAACGGCATCTCCAGCCAGTCCCAAGCAAAATGAACATAAGTGTGTTCTGCAGATTACACTTGGACTTGTGATCTGTTTATATGGGTTGATCATCCATTCCCAAATAACCATCATATTTCTGGAGAACCAGAACAAACAGAAGTTTACAATTTAATAGTTGAGTGCACCGGGAACTCTACAAGTCTTTGAACTTACTTGTAAAGACTATAATATCCTATTTAATTCTACTGTGTGGTAGCAACCCTGAGAGAACTGTGGGTTTAAATCTGGCCCCAGGGGTGAGTTCTCTGCCCCTGGCACTAGTCTATACTTAACATTTTCCTTAGATGCAGAACCTGGCTGCCTACAAGCCTGGTATCGACCTTCCAGGGCCTTGCCCGAGCTGTCACAAATGGGGGTTTTTGTAAACTCTACAGGACTGCCTTTTTGCTTTATATTTGGGAAAACTCAATGCTCACATCAGGTCCACAGGTTGTAAGTACTACAGATACTGAGCATCTACTATGTGCTGGGCCCATGGGGAACCCTGGGGAACTAGTATAGACTATGGGAAACATCTTCAACGGTAGAGAATAAACAGACAGGCCCAGGAACAGATAAGACATCAAATATGATCCGAGAGAGAAGTGAGAGGTTGGTGCCTGACGTCGGGGAGAAGAGAGTAGCAAGATCATGGCCTCCTGGAGGAGGCGTGGCTGGATGACTGAAGGAAGTAGCAAAGGCCACAGTGATAGGAGAACGCAGTAGAACTATGCAGGGAGGGCAGAGCCTTCATTCATTCACTCAGGGACACTGTGAGCCCAGGATGTGCCAGCCATTGTCTCAAGCACATAGGTAACTGAAGTGAACAAACAGAACCCTTAATCTCATATCCTCATATACCAATAATCAACCAGTAGCATGTAAGGTGTTGTAGGTCAGAGGACAGCTTTCAGGAGTCATTTTTCTTCTACGTGGGTCTCAGGGATGGTACTCAGCTTGTTAGACTTGGCACAGCAAGCTCCTTTACCCACCAAACCATCTTGTAAGCCTAGCACTCACATGGCATGGCTCACAGCTACCCGTAGCGTCAACTCCAAGGGGTCTGACAACTCCATGGGATCTGGCCTCTTCATACACTCACAAACGCATAAATAAAAATAAATCTTTTAGGAAAGCCCACAAGCCCCATGTTAAAGAAATGGAAATGAATATACACTTAAGCCACTTAATATGCATAGTGCCAGGTAATAAAGGAAAATGAAATGTTGGGGTGGGGGCTGGGGCTGTTGGTAGCGCTTGGCCTAGCTTATAAAAAACTGGGTTCCATCCCTGGCATGACATAACAGTGGGCACCTGTAATCCTGTCTCTTGGGAGATGGAGACAGAAAAATCAGAAGTTCAGGGTCATCTGGCATAGTGAATTCAAGGCCACCTTGAGCTATAAGAGACCTTGTCTGAAAGTAAAATAAAGAAAATGTAAAGGGGCTGGAGAAATAACTCAGGGGTTTAAAAGCACTGGCTATTATTGCAGAGAACCCATAGGCTGGCTCACAACTATCCATAACTCCAGTTCCAGGGGATACAATGCCCTTTTCTAGCCTCATTGGGTACATACATATATACAGGCAAAACACCTAAACACATAAAAGAAAATAAATATAAAATACAATAAAATAAAACATCACCAGGCTTACACCTTTGATTCCAGTACTTGGGAGACAGAGGCAGGTGGATCTCTGTGAGTTTGAGACCTGCTTAGTCTACAGAACTATTTCCAGCAAGGATAGCCAGGACTGTAACACAAAGAAACCCTGTCTCCAAAAAAAAAAAAAAAAAACTAATAAACAAATAAATGACTTAGTGGTTAAGAGCACTGGCTGCTCTTCCAGAGGACCTGGGTTCAATTCCCAGCATCCAAATGGCAGCTCACAGCTCTCTGTAAACTTGTTCCTGGGGATCTGATACCCTCACACAGACATACATGCAGGCATTACACCAATATTCATAAAATAATAATTTATTGTTGCACCATAAATAAAAGACCTAGAGACAGATATTGGGGGTTCAAGCTTCTAGCTGATGATCAGAAAAGCAAAGCAGCTGCCCACTAGCTCTTACCACTGCCTCAGGCTGAATGGGCTTCTGCCTCTTCTCAACATGGCTGGAGAATCCCGAGACTGAATGTCTTTGTCTCCTCAATGTGGCTGGAGAATGAGTGCCTGATACTGAGACTCTGCTCCTGTCTTACACACCTCCCTAATGCTGGGATTAAAGGCGTGTGATCCCAGGTGTTGATATCATCTTTGCGTGAGCTGCTTCTCTTTAGGACTGGATCAATCTGGTGTAGATCTGGGTGGATTAAAGGTGTGTACCACCACCTCCTAGTTTCTGGCTGCTAGGATTAAATGTGTGCATCACCACTACCTGGACTCCATAGCTTGAGGTTGACTTTGCATTCTGAATCCTCAGTCAAGCTTTCATAAATCATAAATAATATATCACCACAAATTATAAATAAAAGCAACAAAACCTTCAATGAAAAACACGAGGATGTCGTGTTTATATCAGCTAAAGGCTGAAGATAAATCTGCACTGGAGTTTGTGGGCTACTGATTGGCTGAAACATCAGTGCCTCTAAGAAACACATTCTTCCTGTTTTCAGCAGGAGCCAGTGAACCTTGGCCACGGCTCTGAAGACAATGGCTGCCCAATAATTGGGAGATCTCCACACTAGCCCTTAATTCTTTAAAGCTTTGAGTTCCACACGAAGGGTGTGTAGCCCAGTAGTAAAAAGTGTTCAACTACCATTTGAGTCCAGACTTTCATACTTATCACTGAGTCGGGGAAAAGATTTCTGTCACTAAAGTTTTTACCTCAGGAAAGCTAAAGCACTTTTGCTCTTTATACATACACATTCCCGCTCCCCTCATTTCTGTAGCGTAATATTATACATCCGGGCTCTGTGGAAATAGCATTAATTATCTCATTTCAAGGCTCCTGAAACACACATTGTTGAGAAGGGGGTTGGGGTGACTTAGTTCCAATGAACCTAGCAACTTGACCCAGCAATAGCTGTGTGAGCAGGGCTTATGATGGAGTCCAGAAGGCAGATTTGTGTGTGTGTGTGTGTGTGTGTGTGACAGTTCTTTGACAAGGTTGTAGGCATGGATGGAGCTCAGGGGACTTCTTCTGTTCCGTTTTGAAGAGATTATGTCTGTTGGGGTGCAAGCCTTGTGTGTGGTCTTAGCTTCTTGTTAATTTAAGTCCATGCTTGTCCTGGCTAGTTTATTGTCTGCTTGACATAAGTTAGAAGTGTCATCTGAGAAGAGGAAACCACAAGTGAGATGATAGATGCCTCCATAAGACAGGCTTCTAGGCAAGCCTGTGTGGATCATAATTAGTGATCGGTGTGAGAGGGCCCAGCCCATTGTGCTGATGCTACTCCTGGGCAGGTGGTCCTGAGTTGTATAAGAAAGCAGGCTGAGCAAGCCACGGAGAGCAGGGTACCCTGTGTCCTTCCATACCTTCTGCTTCTCTTTCTGCCCTGAGCTCAGCGGACTGTTCTCTGGACGCTTGGAGGGTAAGATGTTGGGGACATGCAGACCATGGGTGTCTAGCTTATGAAGTTTCAGAGGGATGCAAAGGTTCGGTCAGGGCCATTTATGCAATTTTTAAAATTAAGATATTTTTTTTCTGGTCAGCTAGAGCTGAAGAATCAGCTGTGGTTAACAGTAGGCCACAATCATTAGCTCAAAACCCTTGCTTTGCTGGGACAGTCAGAATTGGTCATCTGGGGCTGAAGAATCAGCTATAGTTAAAAAGAGACCAGCATCATCCAGGAAAAATCTGAGAAACATTTCCTTAAGGTCAGCATGCAGAAGCTGTGGTCTAGAGGGGCAGATGAACTTACTTTCTTCTTTTTTCCTTCTTTCTCTCTTTCTAATGTTTTTTGTTGTTGTTGTTGTTGTTGTTTTTGTTTTTGTTTTTTTTTTTTTTTTTTTTTTTTTTTTTTTGAGACACGATTTCTCTGTAGCTTTGGAGCCTGTCCTGGAATTGCTCTATAGATCAGGCTGCTGGCCTGAAACTCACAGGGATCCGCCTGTCTCTGCCTCCCAAGTGCTGGGATTAAAGGAGTGTGCCACCACCACCAGGCCTAGCAGATGAACTTGGTAATATGTGAGTTTCCCAGATGGTAGACATGAAGGGTTGTGGTGAGAATCTGTGGCTAGGCACCTAGAGAGGCCAGGACAATTCTAATGCTGGATTTACTTGGCATGAAGGAGATTTTGTGAGCATGTGGACTCGGGCTTTCAGGGGCTAGAAGTAGCAAGACCATCTAGGAGTTGGTGTTCTAGTAGACTGTGGCCAACTGGCCACAGTGTGAGCATAAGGGTTACACAGGCAGACTGCTAGTATGTTTCCTATCAATGCTCTTCTCTATGACATGAAAATTTACTAATGACATTTAATTAAAAATTTCTGAATATTCAAGCTTGGCACATCTGTAATATCTACTCAGGAGCCGAGGCAGGAGGGTTGCTAAGTTTGAGGACTTATAGATAGGGTGCTTGTGTCTTAAAAAAAAATCCAATTTTTTTATCCAATTCAACAAATATTTGCTCAGAACCTTGCTGTTTGTGTTTGCTTTATGATTCACCAGAGACCATGGACATATGTGTGCACACATGATCAGTCATGTATCTCCAGCCAATCTCCACCTTTTCAGACAGAATCTCATTGGCACTGGCTGCTTGGCTATTGTGGCTGGTCAGCAAGTTTTAGGAATTCCATCCCTGACTCAGTGCTGAGATTACAGGCGTGGGTGCAGTCCCTGACTTTTTACATGGGTGCCAGTAGTCCAAACTCTTCATGTTTGCCCAACAGGTGTCTAACCCACTGAGTCGTGTCACCAGCTCAGTCAGAATCTTCCGTCCAAGCATATCCTGAACTTTGATCATACAGAATTCAAATTGATTAACTAAATCTGGCGGCACCTACCATTCTCAAGTCTGAGAGTTCAAGGCTAGCCTGGACAATACAGGGAAACTCTTTCAACAACAAACAAGCACTCCCCTGAAACAAAAACCTCCAGATATGAACAAAGTAAGAATGAGCCACACTCTGGCAATTGGGAGCATTGTTCTTAAATGTTTACTTTGTTGTTTTGGCTTTTTAGAAAGGCATTCTGTCATGATCATTTAAAATAATTCAATCAAAAGAAAGCCATTAGACTGAAACTACTTTTAAAGTAACTGTAATTATCAGAACACTTTCAGATTTGAATTAAGGATGAATAATAGATATGAATTACAGATGGAGACAAAGATACAGGTTATATTATATATAAAAATATATCTTAATAGCACTATGTCTTTGCTTGTTTGTTTCTAAGTGTTCTTTAATCCAGAAAAAAGGGGGGGGGCATCTGACTTAATGTTTTGAGGGTTTCATCTGAATGCCTGCCTACTATTCCTAAAAGTTTGTGATGTTTTAGTTTGCTTGGAGTCAGAGGGCACAGCCAGTAACTAGCTGACCATAGAGATTTGGAGGACTGTAGAGAGAGGACAGGAAATGGTAAGGCAATGTAAGACAGGATTTCATCCTTTTTTTGGCCAGAGGAACATAGATACGAAGTCACTGTGGCAGCTCCCCTACTTCTCTGATCTTTCAGGTTTTTGCCCTGGTTACTGACTCTTGGTTTTTATTGATAAGATTAATTAAATTTATGCTTTATCTTGCACCTAATGTGGCATACAAATTCCCAAAATAGCTGCTTGCCAGTGGCTTTGCAACCGTTTGCAGCTGCCTAAGTTACCAAGCTACCAGCTGGATTTTCCTACCTCTCTTAATTCATCTATCCAAAAAAAAAAAAAACAAAAACAAAAACAAAAACAAAAAGAAAAACAAAAAAAAAAAACAGGGTCTCTCCCTTCCTGCCTTATCACTTCCTGCCTCTCGCTACAGTCCTTCAGACCTCTATGGTTAACCAGTGTCTAGCTCTGCCCTGTGACTCCAAGCAAGCTTTATTTGCCAGAACACAATAGAAAACATCACATAACAGTTTATTTTCTTATTCTAAATATATATGTGTGTACATGAGTACTGTGGCTCTGGAGATGGACTTATAGGTTGCCGGTGAGCTGCCCATGTGGATACTAGGAACTAAGCTTGGGTCCCCTGGAAGAGCAGAAAGGGCTTTTAACTACTGAGCCATGTCTCTGGTTCCTTCTTTTCTTTGGACCAGGGTCTCACTAAGTTGCTCAGGCTAGCCTTGGACTGGGGATCCTTCTACCCAACCTTGCAGGTAGCTAGGATAACAGGCCTGCCTGCAACCAACAGACCTGATAATTCTTCAATTTTTAACTTCAATTTAGTTTTCTATGCAGGGGTGTCTTAGTGTTCCATTGCTGTGAAACGACAACTCTTCTCTTATAAAGGAAAACATTTAATTGGTGCTTGCTTTCAATTTCAGGTTTAGTCCATCATCATCATGGTGGCTCACGGGTAAACATGGTGCTGGAGAAGTAGCTGAGAATTCCACGTCCTGATCCATAGGCAGAAAGAGACAGAGACTGGGCCTGGCATGGGCTTTTGAGACCTCAAATCCCACCCCCAGTGACACAGGTCCCCCAAGGAGGACACACCTCCTAATCCTTCTAATCCTTTCAAACATTGTCACTACCTGGTGACTAAGCATTCAAATATGTGAGCCTGTGGGGCCATTCTTACTCAGATTACCACAAGAAGTCTTCTGGTATGTGGTATTTCAAATTTTATTAACTTTATTTATGGTATTACTCTGTCATTCCCCCCCCCCATACACAATTATCCCTAATTTACCTTCATAGAATGAAGGAAAACTGCCAAGTTTAGCAATTGTTTTTTGTTGTTTTTGTTTTTTGAGACAGGGTTTATCTGTGTACCCATGGTTGCCCTGGAACTTGTTCTGTAGACCGGGCTGGCCTTGAACTCACAGAGATCCACTTGCCTCTGCTTCTTGGGTGCTGGGATTAAAGACATGGGCCACCATCATCTGGCAGCAACCATCTGTTTCTTAAAAATGAAAAAAAAAAAAAAAGTGGACAGTTTTAAGTTTCCATTGTCTAATGTCTATAACAGCTCTTTATGCCATTATGTTTTACTTATTCTCTTCAACTTTTTAAAATTATTATTTAATATTTTTTCCTTATTTTACGTATCAATCCCAGTTCCCTCTCCCTCCCATCCTCCCATACCCCCCCCCCCCCACTGGCCACTCCATCCCATCCCCTAACCACTCCCAGAAAGGATGAGGCCTTCCATGAGGGGTCATCAAAATCTATCAAGTCATTTGGGGTAGCCTAGAGCCCCCCCCCCATGTCTCTAGGCTAAGGGAGTATCCCTCCATGAGTAATGGGCTCCTGAAGTCCCTTCCTGCACTAGGGATACATTCTGGATCCATTGTCAGAGGTTCCATAGACTTCCCAGGCCTCCTAGCTGACACCCATATTCATGGGGTCTGGTTTAGTCCTATGCTGGTTTCCCAGCTGTCAGACTGGGGTTCATGAGTTCCCCCTTGTTCAGGTCAGCTGTTTCTGTGGGTTTTCCCAGTGTGGTCTTGACCCCTTTGCTCATCACTCCTCCCTGGCCGAAACTGGATCCCAGGAGTTTGGCTCAGTGCTTAGCTGTGGATCTATGCTTCTGCTTCTGTTTCCATCAGCTACTGGAGGAAGGCTCTAGGATGGCATTTAAGGTAGTCATCATTTTCATTATAGGGGAAGGGCATTTAAGGTAGCCTCTCTACTATTGCTTAAATTCCTAGTTGGGGTCATCCTTATGGATCTCTGTATAATTCACTAGTGCCAGATTTCTCTTTAAACCTATAATGGCTCCCTTTATTGATGTGTCTCTTTTCTTTCTCTCCTCCATTCAATTCCCCATTCAATCTTCCTGATCCCTCAAATTCTCCCCCCTTCTCTTCTCCCCTCCTCTTTCTCCTAACTCCCTCCCTCCCTTTCTCCCTGCTCCCAATTTGCTCAGGGGCTCTTGTCCCTTTCCTCTTCTCTGGGGGACCATGCATGTCTCTCTTAGGGTCCTCCTTGTTTCCTAGCTCCCCTGGAGGTGTGGATTGTATTCTGGTAAACCTTTGCTCTATGTCTAATATCTGTATATGAGTGAGTACATACCATGTTTGTCTTTTTTGTGACTGGGTTACCTCACTTAGAATGGTTTCTTCTAGTTCCAGCCATTTGCCTTAAAATTTCAAGATTCCATTTTTTTTTCCCACTGAGTAGTACTCCATTGTGTATATATACCACATTTTCTCCATCCACTCCAGTTGAGGGGAATCTAGGTTGCTTCCAGGTTCTGGCTATTACAAATAATGCTGCTCTGAACATAGTTGAACAGATGCCCAAAGGATGCATAATCACACAACACGGATATTTGTTCAGCTATGTTCTTTGACTTTTTATATGTTGCTAAACTGATTTGTTATTCTATATTTCTTGCAGTTTTCCCTCTCCAATTGTTCTTGGAATTGGGCAGGTGAGTTGAAAAAACAAAGCTTTAACTAGCCATGAGTGTTCAGGCTGTTTTAAGGCTTTTGTTTAAGACTATGGTTAGCACAAATCTTTGACCTACACGCACACACATGCTGTGGTACACCAGTGCCTCTTCACAAATAAATAAAAGTCACAGTTTACGATAACTACACGGAAGTTGTTCTTAAACTTTTGTATTCTCATATGAAGGAAACTTAATAAGTTATAAAATTTGCACAGGAGATGAAGACTTTATTTCTAAAACAACATCATGGGCTATTTCTAATATACCTGTCATGACCTAAATTTATAAGATTGTGAAGAATCCCCCCCCCCCCCAAGACTGGGTTTCTCTGTATAGCCTTAGGCTGTCCTGGAACTTGATCCGTAGACCAGGCTGACCTCAAACTCACAGAGCTCCACCTGCCTCTGTCTCCCAAGTGCTGGGATTAAAATCATGCACCACCAACTCCCAGCTTTATTTTTGTTTTTGAGTAACCCTGGCTGGTCTGGAACTCTCAGAGGTCAGCCTGCCTCTGCCTCCAGAGTGCTGGGATTAAATGTGTGTGCCACTATGCCTGGCTGAGATTTATTTTTAATTATGTATGTTTGTGTGTGTTTATATGTGGGTATAGGGTGTGCATACAAGTGCCCAAGGCCCAGAAGAAGTCATAGTATCTCCTGGAACTGGAGTTCTGGGGGATTTTGAGCCACCTGAAGTGGGGATATGAGTCCTGGGAACTAAACTCAGGTCCTCCAGCCAAGCTGTGGGTGCTGACTCACCTCTCCAGGCCCTGATGACAAAAATTCTTACTGCTGGACTTGCCAAAAAATGCACTTTGACTTTTCTTGTTTTTTTTTGTTTTTGTTTTTTTAGTTAATTTTTATTTAAATTAGAAACAATCTTATTTTTACATACCAATCCAGTTCCCTCTCCCTCTTGTCCTCCCATTTCCCCAACCAACCCCCTATCACACTCCCACCCACTCCTCAGGTAGGGTGAGACCTCCCTTGGGAGATCATCAAAGTCTGTCACATCATTTGAAGTAGGACCTAGGCCCTCCTCCATGTATCTAGGCTGAGAGAGTATCGCTCCATGGAGAATGGGCTCCCACAGTCCATTCGTACACTAGGGATAAATACTGTTCCACTGCCAGGTGTCCAGAGACTGTCCAAGCCCAGCAACTGACACCTGAGTTCAGTTTGTTCTTATGCTGATTCCCCAGCTGTCAGTCTGGGGTCTGTGAGCTCCCAATGTTTCAGTGGGTTTCCCCAGCATGGTCTTGACCCCTTTGCTCGTCACTCCTCTATCTCTATAACTGAATTCCAGGAATTCGGCTCCGACTTTTCTTAAGACATTTTTATTAGCTTGTATTAATTGTATAAAATAATGAGTCTCATGATATTTTCAGTTTGCTTAATTCATTTTAACCTTACTTACCTCCAATACTTCCCTTCTTTAAAAAAAAAGTCCCAGTCTGTTTTCTCTCTTTAATTTTTATTTGTATTTATTTCCCAGTCTATTTTCCTAGCTTTAAATGGGTACATGTAGGGTCTCTCTATGTAGCCGTTGTCCTGGAACTCACTATGTAGACCAGGCTAGCCTCAAACTCACAGAGATCCACCTGCCTCTCCTGGGATTAAAGGTGTATGTCACGGTGTGTGCTTAGGAGTTTTTCCTTCTTAAAAATTGTTTCCTCTCGCTGGCCTGTAAGGGAAGAAGCTAACAGACTATACACTCCATTTGTGGGAATTGAGACCTAGGCTCATCTAGTCAGTCTGGTCACTCTCAGAGGGCCCCTGGGACAATGTACACACTTGAGCCTACTTGATTATACATTTTGTCTGTTCTGATTCAAACAATATCCCATCCAGTGGTAAGAAATGTTAGCTTCCATGGAAACCCTCCCTTCAGTCTGGAAAGTGGATTGTTTGGGTTATCTTTCTGATAAATGTGCTTCTGATTACACCATTACATCAGGGTAGCTCGCACTGTCTTTCCAGGTGACATTTTGCTAAGTTTCTTTCTCCTTTCAGATGGCCACCACCATAATGATACTGTATGTGTCCAAGATAAATAAAATAATCCACTTCCCTGATTTTGACAAGAAAATTCCTGGAAAGGTATGTGTTGAAAAGATTAAAAAACAAACAAGAAACTTAAAAAAACAAAAGCAAGCAAGCAAACAGGCCAAAAAAAATCCATACACCGTGGATCTGATTCCTGCTCAGTAGAAAGTTTTTCTTCTTTTCTTATTTGAGATGGCTCTTATCATGTATCCCAGGTTGGTCTTGAACTCAAAAATCCTTCTTCTCCAGCCTTTGGTGACAGAAGAAAGGTTTTTGTTTGTTTTGTTTTTTGTTTTTTGTTTTTTTACAAGCCCAGGTTTCTATGTGTAGCTCTGACTGTTGTGGAACTTGTTCTGTAGACCAGGCTGGCCTAGAACTCACAGAGATCTGCCTGCCCCTGCCTCCTGAGTGCTGGGATTAAAAGTGTGCACCACTCCCACCAGCATGAGAAACTTCTTAATAAATATTTTGTAAATACCTATTTGTGTAATGCACTGAAGATAAGGATATGGCTGGGCTGGGCTTGTGAGATCTGTGAGTAAAGAGCTTGCTGAGTGAGTGTGAGTGAGCTTGCATCCTTTGCACCTGCATTGACATAGGAGACAGAACAGAGTGAATGTAGGTGTTTAGCAACACAAACACCCTGAGTTTTTAGAGCCAGTGTTTTGTGAACTCTTTGGCTAAGGACCAGGCTCTCTCTTTATTATACAATGAAAGAAACCCTGTGTAATATGAAAATGAATCAGTGCAGTTATATTACGATAAAACGATATGAATAAGCACAGGCCAGATTTGCCCTGGGTTCTAGTTTGCTGATTTATGCTTTCAGATTTCATTTTTAGTGTTTGTTTTGTTTTGTTTTGACACAGGATTTCTCTGTGTAACACAGCCCTGGCTGTACTGGAACTTGATTTGTAGACCAGGCTGGCCTTGAACTCACAGAGACCCACCTGCGACACCACTCCTGGCTTTCATTTTTAGTTTAAACTGATAAAAGCTATGAGTAAAGAATACGATTTGATATATTGAATATATGTAGATGTACACATGGAAGCATCATTGAGAGAGGGAATATGGAGTGGAATCTGTGTATAACAAATAGCTTCATCGGGGCCAGGCTTGAGGCAGACATTAGATTCTTAGATTAATCCTTTGACAGAGGATATAAAATAGCTTTGGATTAAGAGGTCTAATTGTTGTTTCTTAAGGGTGAGGCCCTTGAATTGCTTCTTCATATATATTTATAGTTGATAATCATAGGATATTAGGTCAGGTACAGGGCTGAGAGGTGGATGGTTGATTTTCAAGGGCACTAAAAATTGCCCAAGGTAATTTGTCTCTTGTCTGCAGCGTTTTAATTCTCTATAATCTTGACGTTCCCCTATTTGGCCTTCTAGAATCTTCAACACAAGTCAGCTTTTCCTGTCTTCCTTTCCCACTTCCCTCCCTCCCTCCGCATCTCCCTAACTCTTTTGGAAACTTCAGTTCACAGTGTGCAAAATGGGAAGCAAGCATTAATGATGCTTTACTTTTTAGGGTTTTTTTTTTTTTTTTTTTTTTTTGAGACAGGATTTCTCTGTATAAGCTTTGGAGCCTGTCCTGGAATTCACTTTGTATGCTAGACTGACCAAAAACTCACAGAAATCCTCCTGCCTCTCCCTCCTGAGTGCTGGGATTAAAGACATGCACCACCACACCTGGCTTTAATGATGCTTTATTAGCTATGTTTTTTTTTTAATTTATTTATTCTTATTTTATGTATGTTGGTGTTTTGCCTGCTTGTATGCCAGTGTGAGGGTGTCAGATCTTGGAGTTACAGACAGTTGTCAGTTGCCATGTAGGTGCTGGGACTTGAACCCAGGTCCCCTGGAAGAGCAGTCAGTACTTGTAACCACTGAGCCATCTCTCCAGCCCCATTAACCATGTTTTTTTCTTCTTCTTCTTTCATATGTAGGTTCAAGTTATGCAATCAAAATTCCTCCCCACCAGTCTAATTTTCACATCTTTTATCTTCTTTGCTGTGTAGCACGTGTTGATAGAAATGGCATCTTTGGCCCCAAAACGAGAGCTTAAGTATTTCATCATGAAGCAGGGGTCCATGGGCCTTTGTTGGGTGAGCCGTTTACTCTTTGCTGTGCAATGCAGTGGCTCAAAAGAGTAATCTTTTCATTGTCTCCCATAGTGATGGAGGAGTCTTGGCAAGGCTTGATTGAGTAGTTCTGGCTTTAGGCGTTCCTTTCCTTGTGGATACAAGGAGAACTGTATTAGTTATGGGGTTGGTTAGTGTAGGGGGAGATGGTCCCTTATCTGCCGTCCTAGAACACTCTCACACACCTAACATATATACATAGGGAAAACACGCAAATGAAGTTCTAACTGCATCTTTTTCCTTTTGTTGAAGCTGTTTCCTCTGCCTCTTCTCTACGTTGGAAACCATATAAGTGGCTTATCCAGCACAAGTAAATTAAGGTACAGTTCAAGATGACAGTGGGGAGGGAGTATCCATCGTCTCTAGTGGTCCAAACACTGAGTTTGGTTTTTCCCAGATTTTGCCTGGGTGGTGTCCTAGTTTGCTTTCTGTTTCTGTGCTAAACACTGTGGCCAAAACCAGCTTGGACAGGACCGGGTTTATTTTAGCTTTCAGTTACCTTCTACTGAGGGAAGGCAGGGCAGGAACTGAAGCAGAGACCACAGGTGCCGCTTACTGACATGCTTCCTCTGGCTTGCTCAGCTCCTTTTCTTCCTGGGTGTAGCACTGCCCACACCGGATTGGGTCCTACACCAATTAGCAATCAAGAAATTGCCACACAGACATGCCCACGAGGCCATGCTGATGGAGGCGGTTTCTCACTTACTGTTGGTCCCTCTTCCCAGGTGGATCAGTTTGACAGCAAGCTCTGCCATCACAGGTGTCATGTGGGAAGCAATCGTATTCAGCAATGTGAGAAAGTATAGTTTTGAGTTTAATTCTAAATGTCTTTTAGGAATGTTTAAAAGCTTATACTTTTGTTGATAGTCATGTCTCACCGTAAATATGAGGTTTGTGTTTGTCAGAGAATATGTGATTGGGCGGATTTGTTCGTAATAATATGATCATGGTAACCTTTCATTGTAGTTCTGTAGAAACTAGAATATTCTGTCAGACTTGACGTAGATCACGTTTGGTGTAAGGAAAACATGAATAATAGACATTAGTTATAGGTATGGACTATACTTGACAAGTTTGCTGATCATAATTGCAAGCCTTTATTTTCTGCCCTTCCATTCTATTCCATTAATTACATATATGTTATTAAATCAGTAATTGATAGTCTTGGTTTCTGTAGCTTTGTACTAAATTTTGAAGTTGGGAAATGTGAGTGCACCTACTTTGCTAATTTTCTTTTTAAAACATTTAAAAAACATCTGTGTTTGTGTGTATGTATTGTTTTGTATGTGTTGTTTGTGTGTGTATGTGTTGTGTATGTGTTCTGTGTGTATGTGTGTGTGCATGCGTGCATGCATGCATCTGTGTTTGCATGTGTGTATGTGTTGTGAGTGTGTTTGCATGTGTGTATGTGTTGTGTGCATTGTGTGTTGTGTATGTGTGCATGAGTGCGTGTGTATGTGTGAGTGTGTGTGTGTTTGTGTGTATGTCTTGTGTGTGTATGTGTCTGTGTGTGTATGTGTTGTGCATGTGTATGTGGTGTATGTGTCTGTGTGTGTGCGTGTGTGTATGTGTTGTGTATGTGTGTGTCTGTGTGCGTGTGTTGTATGTGTACGTGCGTGTATGTGTGCCTGTGTGTGTATGTGTTGTGTGTGTGTATGTGTGTGTGTGTGTGTATGTGTTGTGCATGTGTATGTGTCTGTGTGTGTATGTGTTGTGTGTGTGCGTGTGTGTGTGTCTGTGTGTGTGTATGTTGTATGTGTACGTGTGTGTACGTGTGTGTATGTATGCCTGTGTGTGTGTGTGTGTGTGCGCGCGCGCGCGCGCGCACACGCGCACGTGTGTACGCCCGCATGCAGGTCAGAAGACAACTTTTAAGAATTAGTGCTCTTCCTTCAGCACTTGGGTCTGAGATTAAACTCAGGCTCAGCAGCAGGTGTCTTCATCAGCCAAGCAGTGTCACCAGCCTCCTGACTTTCATTTTTTTTTTTTTACCATATATTTAAAAATAATAGATTTTATTTAAGTTATGTGCATATGTGTGTGTCTGTACATGGGTTTGTGCATGTGAATGAAAATCCCCATGAAGACCAGAAGAGAGTGTCAGCTCCCCTGGAACTGGAGTTACAGGTGGTCGTGAACCTCCATGTGGGCGCTGGCACTGAAGTTGTGTCCTCTGCAAGAGCAGCCAGTGCTCACCCCTGAGCCATGTCTCTATACCCCCTGGACTTTGTTATTCTTCAACATGGTTTTGCCTTTCTGGGGCCCTCGGATTTCTATATTAATTTAGAATTAACTTGTCAGTTTCTGCAGCTCAGATTTGACAGATTTTGTGTTGGATTAGTTTATTAAAGTGGCAGGAAATTACTCAGTCCCTGTTTGTAGTATGATTGGTTAATGGTAAACATTGCAGTGAATGTTAACTCATTACATTTAGTTTGGAAAACGACCTTAATTAAAAACGTTTGCCATGACACTGTGTGCCTGATGTTAGGGTCTTTTCTGACAGCTTGCCAATGTTCACTGTGCTCAGGAAATTTACAATTCCGCTCACTTTACTCCTGGAAGCCATCATACTCGGGTGAGTTTGGTTTGTCTTCATTCCTTCATTATGTTTCCGACACACTGTTTTTGTTCCTGTGGGCGGGTGGTGTATTCATCTATGTTACGTGTGGACGTGTGAGACTGTGTGTACACGTGGAAGACGTGGGTTGAGGCCCTGTATTTTCCTCTGTTGCTCTCTACTGTTGTTTGAGACAGGGACTCTTACCAAACCTTTTGGCTAGGTTGGCTGGCCAGCGAGCCCCGGATCTGCCCGTCTCTGCCACCTGGGCTTGTGCCGTTCTGATAGATTTTCACAAGTCCTGGAGTTCTGAACTCAGATGGTCAGGCTTGATGCTTATTCCACAAGACTTCACCCGCTGAGTCATCTCCCTGTCCCTCTGTGTTATTTTTACCCAATGAATTCTCACCTTGAGGTCCTCTTTCTGACCAATCGATCGGAATTGATACTTTCAGCAACTTAAGGAACAGTTATTTGTTCATTTAAGAGGAGTCAACTGTTTCCACAACCCCCTAAAATATTAACGATGACTATTTAAGTGTTTTTTTTTCTTTTTTTTTTACAGCAGACAAATAGCATGCTTGTGGTAGAAAACTATAAGAGAAGTAATAACCATCCTTAAACAGACACGCATCTGTGTTCAGAGCTGGATGGAATGACAGGGGACAAAGAACTGCCCACAGACAGGGAAAGAGTAAGGGGACAGAGTTCTGGCACTCCACGACGTGATGTCAGAATAAATTAAACTTTTACCAATGTCATACAGATTTTTTTCCCCCCTATGAGGATACCCAGGCTGACCCATGGAAATGCAAACTTTGATTTTGCCGTAAAGATTATATGGCAGTGAAATTTAAAGCTACAGTGTGCTAAGCCGTAGTATTGGACTTAATCTCCGAATGTGCCATAGATGCCTCTGCAGACTAGACTGTGCAATGCGGCATGGCCTCTTCTGAGTGTCATCCCAGCTTCTTTCCGGGGAGAACAGAAAAATCACTTCACAAGTAGATTAAGGAAACGGCTCAAGAAGTAGGTAAATTTGTCCTGACTTACACTTCCAGAGCCTTCTCTATATGAAGATGTCAGAAGTTAAGTTTTAGCCATGAAGCCACCAATGTTTGCTTCCACGTTTTAACTTTTTCTCTCCCCACCCCTTTCTTGTCTCTCTCTTGACTACAGGAAACAATATTCCTTGGACATCGTCCTCAGTGTTTTGGCCATCGTGCTTGGGGCTTTCGTAGCAGCTGGGTGAGACTTGACACGGCCCCGCTGCTCAGTGGCTTCTCTGTGTCGTTGAGAGTTGGCAGTGCTGTCCTAGAGATTTTCCTTTTCCATCTGGCTGCAGCTGGATTGGGCAGCTAGGAGACAAATCTGTTGAGTTAGTAGTATTCTAATGTGTTCTTGTGAGCATCAAAAAAATGGGTTCCACATTGGCTGGAAATGCTTCTAAGAACATGTGTTGGCCCATGAGGGTAGGGGTAGTTGTCAAGGTAGCCCACACCACTTAAACTATTATGAGAATTTTTTTGGTGAGTTTTTTTTTTTTCTTTGTAACTCAGTTGTGTGGGTCTTGAGTATAAATTCTGTAAATGACAATGTCCTGTTATAAGTAAGCATCACTGGGTATTAACGTAACTACTCTTGAAAAGCAGTGATCTGTTTCCTTTTGTCACCGAATGCCCTCGGTTTAAAAAGTTTCATTTGAAGTGTTCTTAGGCGCTCGGTTTGAAATACCAGATTTGGGTAGCTCAGTAGTAAGATATTTACTTAGCATGCATTAGGGCTCATGTTCATTCCATAGCACCCAACAAACACACATACACACACACACCCCAAAACCAAGAGGTTTATAACTCAGTTATTGTTGTTTTATTGTTCTGTGTATTCATTGCAAATGCTGATATGTGCCAGAACAGGCCAGTATTAACTAGTTCAGATTTCCTACCTTCATTATTTATGTACATACAGAGTGAAAGGAAATGACTGTCTGTCCTTCTATGTATATAGCCCCACACTATATTTTTGTTTGTTTGTTTGTTTGTTTGTTTTTTAAGGAAGCCAGGAGTGGTAGCACACACCTGTATATCCTCAGTGCTGACAGGCAGGTCTCTGATACTCATTTGGCTGGCTAGCGTATCCAAAATGGTGAGTCTGAGGTTCAGTGAAGGTTTTAAATAATAAGGTAGAGAGTGACCAAGGAAGGCATGTGAGTGACATCAACCTCTGGCTTCCACACACACCAGTGTACATACGTGCATGCATGTCAGCACAGGCTTGTACACACATGTGTTTCTAAGTCTTTGGTGGGGAGTGGCCAGAGCAGAACCGAAATGAGTTCAACTGATTTCGAACACATTGATAATTGTTTCCTAAGTCATCTTGCATTTACCCAAGAACCAGCTTGACGTAGCGATGCTGACTTTCCCTGACCTGCAGATTCACCAGATGGATCCCTTCCTGATGAGTAACACTCAGGGTGCTGAACCACAGGACACCTGTGACACCAGCGTATGCACTCCTACTGAAGTTTCCTCTGCCCCCACATAAGCAGAGAATTCAGTAGGATACAGTGGTAGATCAAGCCCTTTGCAGTTTAATTAGAGCAAGGAGGGAATCAGGAGACACTCCTCACATCTAGGGGTCTCTCCTCTCTCCCTGTACTTCCTTCCCTTGTGAGCCCTTCCAAGAAGGGGCATGCTTCTCATGGAAGCCCACTTTACCCAGAATTCAGTCTGTTACAAGTAGATGTATAAGATGCAAGAGTAGGGAGAGATAGCCCAGTCGTCAAGAGGACCCAGGTTCAGTTCCCAGTACCTATACGGGGACTCACAACTATCTATAACTTCAGCTCCAGGGGAACCTTACGCCTTCTTCTGACCTCCTTGGGTACCTGGTACGTGCAGGTTATACATACATACATGCAAGCAAAATACTCATAAAAATGTTAATACCAAAAAGATGCAAGGGTATGTATGGGGTTTAATTATCCCAAGAAGTGTACTTGGGGGAAAGGGTGCCAGCATTCTGCATGCTTCTTGGTCAGAAAGTTCCTGAAATAACTTTAACTTAACCAAGCTAGCTTGGCCTCCTACTGCCCATTGTTTACATCTTGCTTTCGGAAGCTTAGCTGGCCTGTCTGGAGTTGACCATCACCAGTATCTTCGTATTGAAACCATCAGCCAACTACCACAATTATCTTACATCCTGTTTCAGGGCCCTGAACAGGCCCAACTATTGTTCTAAGTGTCCTATTTTTGGTGCCTGTTGGCCAATCCCTTCCAGAGATAACTTCCTGTATACCAAAGTTGGCCAACCCCTGGACATAGTGTTGTTGATTAGATTTAGTTGGGATGAGCCAGGTTCACCTGCTGTAGTAAACAGGCCCCTCATACACTGTTTCTGTACATCACTTCCTCAACTGTGAACCACAGCAATCAATGCTGTTGAGTGGGTTCTGATTACTGAACCCAGGGATCCAGCCAAGAGGTCCCTACCTCAGGCTTCCTCAGTGATCCAGGAAGGAAAAGGGTTATGGGGATTTCTGCACTAGCTCATAAAACTTTTGCCCAGATTTTATGTGCATTCCTTTTCTTGTATATCATTTACCCAAGGAAGCCACATGGCTGGATATGTTGAAAAAGAATGTCTAAGAATAGCCCAAATGACAGCCACACTGGCTGACCCTGAATATGCTCTATTTTGCATGGCATCTGTATTCCTCATATACTTTATTCTCATTACTGCCGCAGTGAATGATGGGTAAGGAAGGATGGGGCAGGCCATGCTTCAGGGAGTACCCATGCCACTGTTGGGTATTCTTGGCCCCTAGAGGAGACAGGACTCTGGAATCTAAAGCTCTCCCAGGAAGTGCCTTTCTCCTATGCCTCTAGAAGCCTGGGTCTTCCTGCTTATTCAAAAATTAGAGTTTAGTTGTTTTATTAAAATATTTTGTATGTATGTTCTGTATTCACATGTGTGTGTGTGTGTGTGTGTGTGTGCGCGCGCGTGCGTGCGTGCATAGGCCAGAGGTCAACATCATTCTTTAGGAGTTGTCCATTTCATTTCTTGAAACAAAGTTTCTCACTCACTTGGAATTTTTTGATTCCGTTAGACTGGCTGGCCATGAGTCCTAGGGACCCAACTATATCCCCTTCTCAGCTCTAAGATTACAACCAAAAGGGTTTCTATTTATTTACTTATTTTTTTATTTTTATTTTATTTAGTTTTTTAGGTTGTTTCCCCCCCAGCAGTTTCTCTGTGTAGCCCTGGCTGTCCTGGAACTAGCTCTGTAGACTGTGCTGGCCTCGAACTCGTAATGATCTACCTGCCTCTGCCTTCTTAATGCTGGGATTAAAGGCATGTGCCACCACACCTGTCTCTTGAAAGGATTTTTAAAAATCAATTAATTTATTTTTTGAAAAAGTTTTTAATGTAGATTCTGAGGATTGAATTCAGGTCTTTATGTTTATGTGAGAAATGGTTTACCAGTAGAACTACCTGTCCAGCACCCAAAGAAAAACTATAGACAAGTTGAATTTATTAGTTCTATTGTTCAATGGAACCATTTGCAAATCTGGTAACCCACAGAACCAGCATAGACTCCGTGCCTTCCCAGCAATCCTGGCAAGCAGCATTTATGAACAGGAAGCCTCAGTTTGCGGAGGCGGCCAGCAAGAGAAGCCACTTCTTTCTGCTGCTGGACACAGACAGTTGACACTGGGATAAGTCTGCACAACACGACTCTAAAACGACCTTTCCCCTCCACTGCTTCCCTGTGTTCCCTGCTAGTTCCCAGTTTGGCTATGGACACTGACACCCTCTTTGCTAGAACGCTATGTAAATCTCAGTGTCCAACTGCATTGAGTTTCATTTTCCTATGAATTACTGGGCATGGAAAAGAGAAACAGGATTTGTATTCGTTTGTACTTGCCCATTAAATTAGCAGTCCACAGCCAGTGAGAAGCAATGTTACTTGCCTGTGGTATTATCTCCCACAAAGGGATATTGTCTGAGTTGCAGACCCTCCTGGGCAAATGTAGTGAAATCTTGTTCCACTAACAACCAAGTAACCAGCTAGTTAACTAAATTCGCAAGCCCCAAGTATTCAACTTAAGGGGGTATATGAAAGGTTTGACTTCTGCCAGTTTGTGTTGTCAGTTATGACCTGGGTCTGGGGTAAGCGGGTGAAATCACACCACATATCAGTTATGGTTGTCTGCCTCATCCCTGTGTCATATCCTCTCATGTTATTTGTTGATGCTATTTACTTAGGATAGAAATTGTGAGGCGCATGAAAGTCCTGGAAGAAAGGAGCCTTGGACAGCTTTCATGGACACATAGGTCCTTGCTTCACCTTTTGACAGACAAGGAACCGTCTGGGCACCAGATGGGGGTGTCATTTCCCAGCTGTCTAACATGAGCTGTACCCTGGGGATGGCCCTGCTTATAAATAAGCAGGGATACTGGTGGGTGGGCAAAGCGTGCCCTCAGGACAGTCACAGCTCACTAATTATTGTGCCAACCTGTCAGTTAGCAAATAAAAGACTCTGCAGTTAAGGTCCCTGGGTCTTGAGCTAAGTGTAATTACATCGAGGCCACCTGATCAGCTTCTTGTCCTCTCTCATCTGGGAGAGATCAGAGGCATTGACAACTCACTGCTAGTGGGGGGGATGGTACTAGCACTGCACACAGATTTGACCAGACAAAGGACAAGCAAGCAGACTCTGCGACCACGTCGAGAGTGTCTTTGTAACGGCCTCCCCTTCCTGTTCTCCCTGCCAGCTCTGATCTTGCATTCAACTTGGAAGGCTACATTTTTGTATTCTTGAATGATATCTTCACAGCAGCAAACGGAGTTTATACCAAACAGAAAATGGACCCGAAGGTACCAGACTTCCCTCCTGCAGCTTTTTTGCCTGTGCCATCTGGCTTCTGAAATGACATGAAAAATGAAAATGAACATGTTCAGTTGGCATGTAACTCGATGCACATCCTGTGATCTAGAAACTACTAATTTCTTCTTGTCTCATATGTATATGACCTTGCCATTCTTGGTATTGTTAGTTGAAAATTAGGGAGGAAAAGATGTCACTAGTTTAGAGGTACAATCAGAATATGAACACACACACACACACACACACACACGTATATTGAAAAGCAAACCCATTTTTTACAGCAGCATCATTAATGACCAGGACACATTCACAAGTGGGGAGGATACCGTGATATCAGAGCATTCCACCTTTACACCTGCTTCCTCGTCATGAAGTGAGATGGCTGGATGGTCCTCTGTCATGTCCTCCAGTGGTAGCCTCCTCTTCTGATTGCAAGCTGTTGGGGCTGCCTGTTGTACCACCCCCAGCCCTCACCCGGCCCCAGCTGTGACCGGAAGCTGTCTGTGGTGGGCCAGGCATATGGGTCTTTGTTCTGAGCTCTTTGTGCTTTGTGAGGGAGTTCTCCTTGACTGATGGGTGCCTTTCTGTGAGCTATTTTTAAAATCTGTATGCCCATTTGTTTCTTTGAATGGTGACAGTTTTACAACAACAGGTTCATCGCCTTCCTGAAAATACAATATGTCACCCCCCCCCCCCCCCGTGGAGAAGTGGGTGGCCACTTCAGTGAAAGCAAACACAGAAGGCTGCCGCTATTCTCTAATGGATGGAACAGATGTTTGAAAAGAGTTGGTTAACGTTGTAAATTTCCGTTATCTCATCTCAGATTTCCTATTTTGAATAATGTGCTTAAGAGTGGAGTGTTAGAAACGGGTTAGAACATCAGAGGCCTTCTGTTTCCATCCATCACATATGTAGTTGGTGTAGAATGAATATTTATTCTGAAGTTATAACACAGTATGCTCCATTTTGCAAGACACTGGCCAAAAGTCTTGCAGCACAGAGCCATCCTGATGCACATTTTAACTATGCATAAATAGACAAATGGCTCAGGAGACAATGTCTTGTATCTCTAAAGTTGAGTGCAGTTTTCTTTTCTCTCACAGGAGCTGGGGAAGTACGGAGTGCTTTTCTACAATGCCTGTTTCATGATCATCCCAACTATCATTATCAGTGTCACTACTGGGGACTTTCAGCGGGTAGGTATAGCCTATGTGAAGAACATGGTTAAGGCGTGTGAGGCTGAACTATGATCTGCTAGGGTGAGTGCACTCAATGCATCTTTTACTTTATTGTATTTTCACTCTATGGGTTAGTTAGGAGGTAGCCCCATCTTTGGTGGAGAGATATCTGTAGTTTACTAAGTCCTTATAACCTAGGAGAACGTCATCACCTCCTGACGTGGAGCTGGAAGACCGTTGTTTGGCTTCTCCCGTTGGAGATGCTGGAGACTTACGCAGAGCTCTTTGAATTGAGTGGTTGCCAGATACTGAAACTGCGGACGGACCAAAGAACTTTGTAGAATGTTTATTGAGAAGAAAATCATAATAAAAAAATACATTTAAAGTCATAAGAACAGTATCTAGGCCTTAATATAAAATATGAGCACACCTTAAGTATTCTATAACAAGAGATGGCCAGAGATGCAGGATGTATACTGTAATTAATAATGAAAATTGACCCTAATTTTCACTGCATAACTGTTGCAATGTTCACTGGACTATACCTTTCAGCTGGTCACATGGGACCATGGCTGAATCAGTTTTAGAATTTGAACCAAATATGATAAAGAAGGGAATTCATCTAGATCCGTACAGAGTTTGAGTTGAGCACTTGAAAGCTGATGGATAACACGGAGTGAAATATCCTCTACCCTTTGCTGGACGAAGAGTGAGCTAGTAGACTGGGAGAGATGGAAAGGCCAAAGTTTTCGGTGATTCACTATTTTGGGAAGTGAGTGCTGGACTTTGGACTTATATGGTTAGTAGATTATTAACTGTGCTTTGATTCTGCCTCCGGGAAATCAAGTCGAAGACAAAGCCCTTGTGTTAATAACCAAGTCCTTGGAAGAGACTCATCTGGCCTTCCCTACAGCAGGGCCAAAATAGATGCAGTATGTTATAACTGATGAAGAGGGATTTTTAAAAAATGGCCTCTTTTTTTTTCTGATTAAAAACCCCAATTGAAAAAGACTCATAATCCAGAATGCTAATTCTTCAAATGTCACCAGTATAGATTCAGTCTTAAAGAGATAATAGGAAACTAACATCTATTAAGGTGTAGGCTGGTGATAACTCTATATATTAAGGAATATCACTAAATAACCCTCCCTGGGTAAATTTTTATTTACTGTTCACATAGATACTTCTAGCTCCTGGTTTTTAATTTATTACATTTATGATTATTATTTTGTATGTATGCGAGGCTGTACTCATGCAGGGAATCAGAGAACCACTTTGTAAGTAACAATAAAATATTTTTATAATGGGAACTTTCAAACATACATAGACGTTTGGAGAGTAGCATAATAAGCCCTTGTTTAAATAGTTATCAATATTTACTGCAAGTCTCTTTGCTAGGAGAAGTGGGTAATTATTATTAATGCGTCAGCGGCACCAAAGGTGGTAAGGCTGTGCCAAACGGACTTAAATCGAACTGTCACTAACCTCACCATGGATCTTTTGCATCACAGGCCACTGAATTCAGCCACTGGAAGAACGTCTTGTTTATCATTCAGTTTCTTCTTTCCTGTTTTCTGGGGTAAGAAACTGTACATGAGCAGAAGAGTTGGTTGATAGTATCTCTTGACAAGTCAGAGCTAAATATGCCCTCCGTCTGCCCGTCCGTCCGTCCGTCTGTCTGCCCATCTGTCCGTCCGTCTGTCTGCCTGTCTGTCTGTCTGCCCTGCTGGAACCCTGTTCCCTGAGTTTCTCTTGACTTTCTCTGGACAATGCACCCATCCCTACTGCACACTTCTACTAAAGAGTAGAAGATCTTAAAAAAAAAAAAAAGTGTGTGTCTGTGCTGGAAGTACAGACTTAATATTCTTGTTGGTCCAAACATTTCAGTGTCACAGCTATTTACAGAGGTTAAGGAGAGTTCTGAGTCCCCGGGACTGGAGTTAGAGGTGTTGTGAGTGACCACAGGGGTGGTGAGAACTGAAGCCAGGTCCTCTACAAGAACAGCAAGTGTTCTTAATCAGTGAGCTATCTCTGTAGCTTTCATTAACTCTTCCTTTAGCTTTGCTGGATTTAATAGTTATCCTGTTGATGGGGTTCTTAGTTTATTATTATTACTCTGCATGTTTGTGTCCGTGTCTATCCACCCATGTACCACAGCACATGTGTGGAGGTTCAGTCTTAGATTTGCCACTTACTAGCTCTGGGTTTGTGATGAGCTGCTTAACCTCATCTTTTCATGAGGCTAGAGTGTGCATACTGAAGGATTTAATTGTAGAGCAGACTTGGAACATACTAAACACATAGAAAGGGGTCAGTAGGAAATGCTAAGCTGTGCACTGTGGAGTGTGCCTGTAGTTCCATCGCCTAAGAGGTTGAGGCAGGAGATTCTCAAAGTTTATGGGCAGACTGAGCTAGGAGGAGAAAGAAAACAAAAAAGAAAAAGAAACATTCTTGTGATTGCTAATATCCCTTTCTTGGTTTTGTTTTGGCTTTTTTGAGAGAGGATCTCATGTTACCCCAGGCTTGAGTTCTGGTTGTTTTGACTCCATCTTCAGTGCCGGGATCACAGGATCACACCACCATACCTAGCTAGTATTATTAGCTCTCTTCTTGAAATCTTTGAGTTTGGCTGTTTGCTTTCTTCCCATACAGACTTGTCATAGTTTTTCTACCCTTCCATGTCCTCCTTTATTAAGTTTTAATTCCACAACCGTTCGAGAAGACAGCTCCAGCTTTGGCATAGTAGATTTTCAAATTTATGCTTCCTGGAGGATTCTTAGTTAAAAGTTGTCACAGCCAGCTGGTTTGCTTCCCTATAGCCTCAGAAGTCACTGTCCAGGACCGCTGGCCACTGGCTTGGGCTGTCCACTCAACAAGCATCTTAGTTTTAGTGTCAGGTACCTCCCAGGCAGGATCCAGAGAGCCAGCTGCAGCTTCTTAGTTAATTTCACCACTTTCAAGTTTGTATCCCAGACTTCTTTTTCTCAACCTCAGACCTTTATTGAATTTGTTAAAATTATAATGTTAAAATATTACATTAAAAATTACTTTACAGTTTAACATTTATTTATTCTCTTTGTGTGTGTGAGTGTGTATTTGAGTGAGTGAGTGAGTGTGTGTGTGTGTGTGTGTGTGTGTATGTGTGTGTAGTTTACACTCTTCTTTCACCATCTCCATCCCAGGAATTGAGTATAGGTTGTCAGGCTTGGAGGCAAAGTCCTTTATGCTGGGCTGTCTCACTGGACTTCACTACATTTTGAATAAGCTTGTTACAAAACCAATAGAGTGTTGAAAGGGTAGGTGTTTAATTTCCCTGTGAGTTATGGTGAGGTTACACTAATCCTCTAGAAACTTCGGTGTGTGACTAAGGGTTTTCAAATACGCTGCGGGGACTGAGTGTTTCAGGAAGATGAGATGGACCGTGGGAACTCACATAATCGGTGCGTGCCAGGTAAAGTGCAGGCTGAGCTGCAGGCTGGCAGCCTCAACTTGAAAAAGGCCACTCTGAGAGATTACAGGTTCCAGTTCATTCCTTTAGCAGCTGGTACTGGCTTACTGTTGTCCAAGTGGATTATCCTAATCTGTTTACTAACCTGTTACAGGACCTTTGATCTCCTCGAGGAAGTAATATGCTCTTTAACAGAAACACAAAGACAGCACACTTCCCTAATCAGAGTCCCTAGAGATGTTTTGGCCTTCCCGTCTCTCATGCATGCACACATGCACATATACACACACTCACAACATTTCTGTTGTTTGAATTTTCAACCTGTACTTCCAAAGAGGCAGCTCTGCAGAAGGATCAGTTCTGAGGATAGCTTGCACACAGGAATGCAGGTATCTGTATGGTCTCTTGATAAGGCAGATGTTGAGACCCCAAAACTTCTGAAAGGCACACACCATGGTCAGCCTGTGCCTTTGTATCTCTTTAGCACATTCCAGAGACTTCCCAGAGTAGAAGAAGCTAGGATTATTTGAAATGCTTTGAACTGCAGAGAATAATGCACTTAGGTTCTCAGTAGAAAAAAATCAAACTCAGACCCATCTTTTCCTATGATACACTCCCTACACAGGTCACTTCTGCAACCTAGGAAGCCTTAGGGGTTTCTCCCCACAAGCATGTAAGCTGCTCTGCAGAGGACACCCAGCTGGTGTCCTCCAGTTCAATTCAGTCTCATGAATATATCTGGAGGTAGTGCCAGATCCTGGCCCACTTCAGGACCAGTTGGAGTTCAGAACATCTCTCTCTCTCTCTCTTCCCTTCCCCCCCTCTCCCTCTCCTTCCTTCTGTCCCTTTCTCTTCCCTCTCTCTTTCCCTCTCTTCCTCTTTCTCCTCCCCCTCCCCTGTGTGTGTGTGTGTGTGTGTGTAAAATCACAGAGGTCAAAACAGTTTCAGGGTGTAAATTCTCTAAATTCTCCAAAGGCATCTACCTTGCTTTTTAGAGACAGGGTCTCTTAATGGCCCGGAAGTCACCGACTCAGCTAGATTGGGTGCCCACGAAGCTCTAGGGATCCCTTACCATATACTACCATGCCTAGCTTTCCCCCACTCCCACCCCTACATGAGATTTACAGGTCCTTGTGCATTGTACCAACTGAGTTATCTCCCCAGCCCACAAATCCAGGACTTCCAGAGCATTGGCTAAAACTGGGGTTCTCATGACACCTTCCCCGGGCCCAAACCATTTGCTAGAGCAGCTGCAAAACTCATAAAGAAAGCACCAGATACCCTATGACTTGTTATAAAGGATAGTTTAAAGAATACGGAAAAACAACTAGAGGGAAAAATGCAGAGACTTGGGAGGGTCTGCTGTGGAGGCGAGGTACACTGCTCCCTTGACAAATGCAAGGTTCATCCTTGTTTCCCTTTTTTAAAAATCCCCAAGTGCTCAGCTGTCATGGCATAGACAGGATTGAAGTGTGGACTGTGGTGTGGAGATGCAGTTGTCCAGAAAGGGTGTGTTCTCACATTGACAGACCGTGTGGGACAAGCCTGGGAAGCCTTTCCCTTCAGATGTTTCCCACTCTCTCCGTAGCTTCCTTTCTTCTAGATGTGGGGCACTACCCTCCAGAAATGGGGTTCTTGTGATCCATTGCCAGATGAGATAAGGCAGAGAGTTTCTGTATGGCCAGATCCAAGACAGAAGGAGGAGAAAGATGGAAGTAGGGGGGAAGGAGAGATCCTGATGGGAGCCTGGGATCAAAGATGACAACTACTTTTCTCTCTGCTGTGACTCACTGTTGGAGAGTACAGTGCATCTTGGCAGGGACGGGGTTGGGTGGGGGTGAGGTTGTGGTGGTGGCAGGGAGTGAGGCGGCTGTCACATCTGATGTCAGCTCAAGTGTTCCCATGGGACTGTGCTACCCACAGCCAGGGTGGGTCTTTCCTTCAGCTAAAAGTCAAACATTTCTGGAAATTCCCTCACAGAGAAATGCCCAGTAGTACGTCTCTGTGTTCATCCTAAGTCTAGTCAAATTGACAAGGTTGATCACCATGGTGACATTACATTCAGCCCTAGGTGTGTAAATTGGTTTTTATTGTCCAGACATGTGCACCACACTGGAGTATATGCTGGCCTGTGTTGTATGGAACTCAAAAATAAATGAATAAATAAATATAAACAGAAACCAAGTGATGTGATTTCCTATGTGTGCTGGATAGTTTTATCCAACTCAGTTGAAAAAAAAATGCTTCCATAAGATGTGGCTGTAGGCATTTTTAAAATTAGTGATCAATGGAGGAGGGCCTAGCCCGTTGTGGGTGGTGCTATCCCTGAGCTGGTCATCCTGGGTTTGATAAGAAAGCAGGCTGAGCAAGCCACTAAACCATATTCCTCCATGGCTCCTGCATTGGCTCCTGCCTCGGAGTTCCTGTCCTGCTGTAGGTGATGAACATTGCTGTGGCAGTGTAAGCTGAACATACCCTCTCCTCCCCAGGTCATGGTCAAGGTGTTTCATCACAGCAATAGTAAAACACCATGCAAGGAATTAATGAAGGCTCCTTTAGAACAAGGTCTTGGTCTTATCCAGTGTACTTTATAAGTAACTCTTGGCATGTTGAAATGTTTCTTTTCTTTTTCTTTCTTTCTTTTGTTGTTTTTGTTTTGTTTTTTTTCAAGACAGGGGTTCTCTGTGGCTTTGAAGGTTGTCCTGGAACTAGTTCTTATAGACCAAGCTGGTGTCGAACTCACAGAGATCTGCTTGCCTCTGCTTCCCAAGTACTGGGATTAAAGACGTGCGCCACCACTGCCCGGCTGAAATGTTTCTTTAAAAATAATTTATATTGTGTGTGTGTGTATGTGTGGTTGTGTAGACATGCCCATGTGTGTACACAATCAAGTATCACCCCTATTGCTCTCCACCTTGCTAGTTGACAAAGGGTCTTCCATTGAACCTAGAGCTCCCTATGCTGGGTGACCAGCAAGCCCCCCCCCCTTTCCAACTCCTAGTCCTGGGGTTGCACATGTGCACAGTCCCACCTGGCTTTATTTTTTAAATGTGTGCTCAGGGTCTAAACACTAGTCCTCATCCTTCCCTAGCAAACACTTTACAAGTTATTTAAAAATAACTTCCAAAACAAACAAAAAAACAAAAGCAGGTGTAGCTCACACATTCAATCTCAGAACTTGGGAAGCAGAGGTAGGTGAATCTCTGTGAATTCAAGGCCAGCCTGCTCTACAGATCTAGTTCCAGAACAGCCACAGCTACACAGAGAAACCCTGTCTTGAAAAACAAAACACAAATCAAACAAAATTCCTATATTCTCCTTCTCTGAGGACATCTAGTGGGCATATTGAGAAGTGCAGCCTCTATCTTCAAACCCTCTGTTAGGAAGGAATGGGGTTCATTCCCCAACAACTCCAGTTTGTTAGCCAGCAATCCCCGCCTCTAGCTCAGTGCAGTGGCGAGTAAATATCTTGGAAGATGGGTAATGAGGTCTCGGACCAAGGTGTTTTCCAGAGTGGTCGGAGAAAACTGATGACAATTTCTATCAAATAAAGACATTTTGACAGGCATGATATTGTCTGCCCTTCATCCAAGCACCTGGAAAACAGAGGCAAGTGGTGAATCTCTCCGAATTCAAGGCCAGCTTTGTCTACACAGTGAGTTCCAGGCCAGCCAGGGCTACAAAGAGAGACCCACTCTGTCTCAAACAAAAACAAACAAACACATACAAACAAAATGCAGTGGCTCAACAAAAACAAAAGACTCCCCTCAACAAAAACAAAGCCTCTTGAAAATAAAAATGAGAATAACTGAGAAGAAAGTATGGGAATGGAATATGATCAAGATACACTGTAGGAAGTTGTCATAATGAAACTTTGTGGAATTAAGACATGTTCATGAGAAAACCTTTTCTTCCCCTCACTTTGTGGAAACACCGATGAGAAATGCCAGTCACCTAATCAGGTTTGGCTTATGCACAACCGAGCCTATTTCTTGTTTTTTTTTTTTTGTTTTTTTTTTGTTTTTGTTTTTTGTTTTAAAGCCCAACGACAAATGTCTAGATCTGGTTCTAGAACCTTCATGACACCCAGAATAGGCCATGCTCATGCTGTCTGTGTTTCCTGCCCTCAGGTTTCTGCTGATGTACTCCACAGTTCTTTGCAGCTACTACAACTCAGCTCTGACCACAGCAGTGGTTGGAGCCATCAAGGTAAGTGATGGAGCCTTGCTCTGAGCACCTAGGTGGGAACCAGATGGAAACTGCTGTGGACAGATACGCAGTGAGTGTGGAGGCTTGTGACTCCCTGGGGGGGGGAGGGGGAGAGTGGGGTCTGTGTGATCCCTCTAACTGATCTAGTGTGTGAGTGAAGTTGCTAACTCAAAAGGGAAAGAGGTTATTACTTTAAAATTTGAGGCAGGTGAGGGTATAATTTGGGGAAAACCAAGTAACAACTGGAAAGGAAAATAACACAAATATCCATGATCATTCTGTTGTCTGGAATTTGGTTTGCTGGGAGAACTTGCCCTTCTAAGAAGGCAAGCTCTCCTGAAGGAGGTTTTTGGTGACATTTATGTTCTGTGATAAAGCAACGAACTTGGATTGGTAGATTGGTGCAAAGGCATTTGTGTACTCCTTACATATGCCTGTGAGCATTTGAAAACACACATGCTTGAATAGGGAGTGGTCTGAGTTCTAGTCCACACTTCTCTATTCGCATAGGCTCATAGAGTGAGTGAGCAAATCTTACCTTCTCCACCCAGTGGCTTCCTCAAGTAGCTTGTACAGAGTTCTGCTTAGAGCCTAGCTGCCTGCCCTGTTCGGGTTGAGGGTGATGGAGATAAATTGTCCTGTGCAGTGATGGTATAAAGATGGGAGCCGGCAAGCAGATTACAACTTGACTCTCCTACCTTTCGTCTGGAAGGGGTGAACAGTGCAGTTTTCTGCTACTACATTTTAGTTGATTTCATTTATTTATAAAGCCGTATGTCATTAGGCGTTCCATGCAAGCCTCTATGCAGAGTAACCCAACGTCTGGCTTCAGGTTTCACGTGTCTGCGTTTTATCAGAAGTTCTTTTCAGTGATGAGTCCCCTTTCTTTGCAGAATGTATCGGTTGCCTACATTGGGATGTTGGTTGGTGGAGACTACATTTTCTCCCTCTTAAACTTTATTGGGTTAAATATTTGGTAAGTGAACTCACAGTCAAGTAAGGGGTTTAGCATAATTTCTAGGTACACAGTAAGTGAAAAGAACAAAGGAAAGTTCTATTTGTCGTGCTGGGGATGGAACCAGGGCCATGTACATGCCCAGCAACAAAGTGCTCTATCACCAGGCCACATCCTCTGCTTTAAGCCCTTTTTGTTTGGAGACATCATTTTTAAACATGGTCTCTGGGGATATGTGTCATAAAGAATCTCAGGACCCAGGTCTAAATTCATCTTTTCTCCTGCCTTGTGGGTCTCATTACCTTGTGGCCTTTTGAAGTGTTGTGTCCTAAGGATGCCATTGGGACTGCAGTGCTTTTGAACCCAGTTTTGGGTCCTAGGCATGGGTATCATTTGTGGAATCCTTGCATATACTGTATTCAATAGAATTTGAGCACTCATTTTCTTTTCCTGTCCCAAACATTTGTAGAGAAGAAATTCTCAATCCACAACCCTGTGAGGAAAGAAAACTCAGAGATCATAGTAGTTGGGTGCAAATTAAGCTGACTACAATTATAAAATCACTAATGATTTTCACATTGTTCCCTTTCTCTTCAGCATGGCAGGTGGTTTAAGGTACTCCTTTTTAACACTGCACAGCCAACTAAAACCTAAACAACCTGTGGACGAAGAAAGCATCCCTCTGGATCTGAAGAGCTAGATTGGAAGGTGGAGTTGCAGGCTTAGGCTGGAGAGGGCAGCCCCAACAGGCATGGGCAATCTAGAGATCCCACACCTGGGGCAGTCACCCGCTTGGCCAGAGCACAAATGGGAATGGCTGGGAAATACAAAGAAATCTACCTCACGTGTCACTGCACAAGGAGCCACAAGGAACTCAAGACACACAGCACAGAACCTCCCCCAACTCAAAACTTTTGAATTTGCTCAATGTCAGCCATGGGGCTCTACCCTGTGTGCTGAGGGGGACTTTTCAAAGTTGACTTTGCTTATCAGCACCTTGGCCTTAATTTCAAAGGCCCCAGCCAAAGCAAGTGCCAGAGAGAACTTTTTGTTGTTGAAACATCTCTTTATTTTCATAAAAAAAAAAAAAAATCAGTCATAGTGATTTAAACAATGTTGGTATGTTGTTTTCCAAGCCATCGAAGTGAAATAAAAAGCCATTTCTATGTATGCCTCGCAGTGTGATATTGCAGTATGAAATAGAGTCAGTTACTCAGGCTCACTGGGTAGTGCTTGCTGTACAGACATGAGACCCTGAGTTTGATCCCTTGCACCCATATAAGAAGCCAGGCACGGTGCATGTCTATGCCTTCCTCAGCTCTGGGCAGACGGAGATATGCGTATCCCGGGACTCTGGCCAGCCAGTCTAGCTGAAATGGTAAGTTTCAGGTTCAGTGAGACACCCATCAACAGCCTCTGGCCCACACACACATGTACACACATTTATCTCCCCGTATATAGGCATTACTCCACCTTAAAGGAACAAACAAACAAGCAAACACAAAGAATCCTCAGTACATCGAGCCGTATTGTTCATTTGAATGTATGGTCCCCAGGTGTGGGTGGCCTTGCAGGAGGAATTGTGTCACTAGGGTGGGCTTCAGCCTTCAGCCATTTCAGGTTTGCTCCCCAAGCTTCCTGTGTGTGGTTTGATGAGCTGCCAGCTGTTCCGACACCATGTCTGCTGTCTGCTGCATGAGCCCCTGTCATGATGACCGCTCTGGAGCTGTAGGCACAAATAAACCTTTCCTTCTATTAGTTGCCCTGGTCATGTTTCCATTGTTGTTATCTGTTTCTTGTTTGTTTGTTTTTGTTTTTTTTTTTAATCACAGCAACAGAGCAGTAACTAATGTAAGTGGCTAAACTGTCTCATTCTGCCCAGCTCCTCACAGGTTTGTTCAGGGAATTTGAAAGTTACAATGTATGACAAGAACTTTCCTGAGTTAACTCCCCAGTCCCATTGGTAACATCTAAGTTTATAGAGGCAGAGCCACAGGTAGTTGCAGCTGAAGGGATATGCTTCCAACTACTTAGCACAATTGTTGTGTGTATGTGTGTATACCCACGTGCCAAGGATTGTAGCAGCCAGAAGACAATTTGTAGTCCCGTGTAGTCAGACTCCGTTGGAGTGATTAAGACATGCTGATAAAAGCCCTTACTGGAGAAAGGGGTGGTTTTGGCTTACAGGTGTAGGTTACAATCCACTGTGATGGGAAGTCATGACAAGAGTTGAGCTGGCCATGTTTTCACAGTCAAGGAACAGACAGCGATGGATGGAGGATCTCTGCTGGCTCGCTTCCTTTCACAAAGTCTGGCACCTCAGCCCATGGAATGGTGCCCACATTCAGAGTGAGTCTTCCCATCTTAATTAACCTGAGGGTGCTCAGAGGCTTGTCTCCCAGAAGGTTCTAGATCTTGTCAAGTTGACAATGTTAACTGTCACGGTGCTCTGTTTAACCTATTCATTCACCCATTGATCCCCTTGGGGTGTTTCTATCTTCAGGCTTTTGCAACTGATGTCACTATAAATACAGAGCTACGGATAAATCTTCAAACCCCAATCTCAGGTGCACATCTGTAATCACAGCACTCAGGAAGGTGAGGCCAGCCTGGGCTGCACAGTAACACCCTGTCTCAAAATGTAGAAGGCCATGGTTTCAATTATTTTTGGGTTTATACACAGTAGAATTCTAATTAAAAGTTTTTTCAAGACAGGATTTCCCTGTATAGCCCTGGCTGGAACTCATACTGTAGTCAAGGCTAACTTTGAACCCAGAGATTTGCCTGCCTCTACCTCTTGAGTCCTGGCTTTAAAGGTATGTGCCACTAGGCCCAGCTCTAGTTTTAATTTTTTGAGGACTTGATACACTGAACTTTTTTCACAGCTACTATCTCTTCATCTTTCACAGCACACATTTTGGCTTTGCTTTTTGGTAGAACCCATCCTGATAGGTTTTTGTTTGGACCTTTATTTCCCTAATTCATGGAGAACATTCATCTCCATGTGCTGGCTGGTCATTTGTGTGTCTTAAGTGTATGTGTGTATATACGTTCATGTGTGTGCAGGTAGGCGTGCCCACGTGATTATGTGGACAGCAAAGGTTGATGGCTGGTGTCTTCCTCAATCATTTTTCATCATCTGCTTTGAGACTGGCTCTCACTGAGCCTGAAGCTCCCCCATTTTGGCTAGACTAACTGGCAAGTGAACCATTAGAATCCTCCTGTGTCTGCCCCTCTAAATGCTGACATTACAGAAGCCAGGTTGTTCATGCTTGTATTGCAAGCATTTTGCCATGGCCATCTCTGCTGGCACATTGTATATCTGCTTTAGAGACATACCTACTCAAGTCATTTCTCCCTTTCTCCTCCTCCTCCTTCCTCCTTTTCTACAGGTTGGTGTGTGTGTGTTTACGTGGCCTGAGTGTGGATGCCTGGGAAGGTCGGAGGTATCATTTTTTTCAGGCAGTTGTGTACCACCTGAGAACCAAACTGCAGGGGACTTAGCCCAGTCACAGAAAGCTGAGCTGGGTCTGAGGAAAGGTAAGCATGCAGCCTTACCTCCTAGATTCCGGGAGACAATCAGACGCAGCAGGGAGTCTAGTCAGGCAGGAACTCATTTATTGACCCATAGCAGGCATTTTTTAAAGGAAAAAACCACAGACAGGGGAAAACAGCCAGTCTGTCACATGCCTAGGCACCCTACACTTTACCAGTGATCTTGAGCAGTGACCTCATCTGGTAAACAACTCAGGATTCACCCTCTTTCCCTCAGCGCTGTCTTTGACTGGCTCTGGCTCCTGTGCCCTACACAAATCTGGGTCCTCTAGAAGAGTAGAGTATACTCTTTGTTACCAGGTCACCTCTAATTCTCCCTCCCTCTCTCTCTCCCCCCCTCCCACCCTTTTTCTCTCCCTTCCTTTTTCTCTCTTCTTCCTCCTCCTGTTTTTCTTCTTTCTCATTTATTGAAAATATTTTAAAATTTATTTATTTATTTTTAATCCCCTCCCTCCTCTCCTTCTGTTCCCTCCCCCTACTTCTTCTCTACCCCACCCCTCCCAATCTACTCCTCTGTTTCCGAAGGGGCAAGCCTCCTGTGGGTCATCAGCAAAGCATGGCATATAAAGTTGCAATAAGACTAAGCACCTGCCCTTGTATTAAGGCCAGGCCAGGCAACCCAGTATGAGGAGTAGGTCCCCGAAAGCCAGCCAAAGCATAAGGACAGCCCCTGTTCCCACTGTTAGGAGTACCATAAGAAAAACAAGCTACACAACTGTCACATATCTGCAGAGGGCCAAGGTCGGTCCCATGTAGGTTCTCTGGTTGTCAGTTCAGACTCTGTGATTTCCCATGAGCACCGGCTAGCTGTTTCTGTGGGTTTTCTTGTGATGACCGTGACCCCTCTGGCTTATGTAGCCCTTCCTCCCTCTCTTCAACAGAATTCCTCCAGCTCAGCCTAACATTTGGGTGTGGGCCTCTGCATCTGCTTCCATCCGTTACTGGATGAAGGCTCTCTGATGACAATTAGGGCAGTCACTAATCTCTGAGTATAGCAGAATATCATTAGGCGTCATTATGTTGGCATTTCTTTTCTTCAGTCATGCTTGATTCTGTCCTAGGTATCTGGGGCACCCAGCCCTCTGGGTCCTGGCACTACAGGCAGTGTCTGGTGGGCTCACTCTCCTGGCATGGGTCTCAGGCTGGACCAGTCCTTGGTTGGCCATTATCCCCATCTCTGCACCACCCTTACTCCAGCACATCCCACAGACAGGACAACATGTAGGTCAAATGTTGTGTGGCTACTTGGTGTCCCAATGCCTTCAAAGGAAGTCTTGCCTGGCTACATGAGATGGCCAGTTCAGGCCATGTTCTACTATTGCTAGGAGCCTTAGCGGGGGACACCCTTGTAGATCCCTGGGAGTTTCCATTGCACTAGGTTTCTACCTCACCCCAAATGTCCCCCCTTTTCCTGTTGTCATCTCTTTCAGTACTCTTCCCTCCCTCCATACCGCCACCTGATCTCTGATGCTCCCATCCTCACCCACCCCCAGTGCATCAATGAAATCTCTTCTATTTCTCTTTCCCAGGGTCATCCATGTGGCCCACTACCCAGATCCCGAATAAATACATGGAGACTTATTCTTACTTATGAATGCCTGGTCTTAGCTTGACTTGTTTCTAGCCAACTTTTCTAAGTTAAATTATTCTCTCTCTGTGTGTCTCTCTCTGTGTCCCTGTCTCTCTCTTTTATGTGCATTGGTTTTTGACCTGCACGTCTTTGTGAGGGAATTGGGTCCACTGGAACTTGAGTTAGAGACAGTTGTGAGCTGCTATGTGGACGTTGGGAATTGAACCTGGGTCCTCTAGAAGAGCAGCCAGTGCTCTTAACTGCTGAGCCATCTCTCCAGCCCTAAACTGTTTCTCTTTAAGTATGTTTTGCCTCTGGGCTTTTTACCCAGCTGGCTGGATGGCTGGCCCCTGGCATCCTCTCCTCCTTCTCCTTTTCTTATTCCTTGCCCTTCTCTTAAGCCTAAATTTCTTTTCTATTTATTCTTTGTGCCCAGAAGCACTGTGTATCCCTCTCCTGCATAGCTATTGGCTGTTCAGCTCTTTATTAGACCATTCAAGTGTTTTAGACAAGCAAAGTACAGAGTTGAACAAATGTAACATAAAAGGATGCAACACATCTTTACATCATTAAACAAATATCCTACAGCATAAACTAATGTAACACATCTTAAGTCAGTATTCCACAACAGTTGGTGAAAATCTTTTCCCATTCTGTAAGCTGCTGTTTTGTCCTATTGACAGTGTCTTTTGCCTTACAGAGGCTTCAGTTTTGTGAGGTCCCATTTATTAATTGTAGATCTATTGGTGTTCTATTCAGGAAGTTGTCTCCTGTGCCAATGCACTGAAGGCTATTTCCCACTTTCTCTTCTATCAGGTTCAATGTAACTGGATTTATGTTGAGGTCTTTGATCCCCTTGGACTCAAGTTTTGTGCAGGGTGATAAATATGGAATTATTTGCATTGTTCTACGTGTTGACATCCAGTTATGCCAGCACTATTTGTTGAAGATGTCTTCCTTTTTCTATTGTATAGTTTTGGCTTCTTTGTCAAAAATCAGGTGTCCATCAGTGTGTAGATTTAATCTGGGTCTTTGATTCAATTCTGTTGACCAGCCTGTCTGTTTTTTTATGCCAGTACCATGTTGTTTTTATTAATATAGTTTTGTAGTAGAGCTTGAAATCAGGGATGGCAATTTCTTTTATCGTACAGAAGTGTTTTAGTTATCCTGTTTTTTTTTTCATATGAAGTTGAGTATTGTTCTTTCAAGGTCTGTGAAGAATTGTGTTGGTGTTTTGATAGTGATTCGGTTGAATCTGTAGATTGCTTTTGATAAGATGACCATTTTTACTTTGTTAATTCTACCCATCCATGAGCATGGAAGATCTTTCCATGTTCTGATGTCTTCTCCAATGTCCTGCTTGAAGTTCTTGTCACACAGGCCTTTCACTTCCAAGATATTTTATATTATTTGTAGCTATTGTTAAGGGTGTTCTTTCCATTTTCTTTCTCAGCCCATTAATCATTTGTATGTAGTCTACTATTTTTTTTAAGTTAATCTTGTATCCAGCCACTTCACTAAAGTGAAGTGTGGGAGTTTCCTGGTAGAATTTTGCACTGAAACCATCTGGCTCTGCGCTTTTTGGGTTGGAAGACTTTTAATGACTACTTCTATTTCCTTGGGGGCTATAGGTCTATTTAAATTGTTTGTCTGGTCTTGATTTAATTTTGGTATGAAGTACCTATCAAGAAATTTATTGGTTTCTTTTAGATTTCCCAATTTAAGGTTTTTGAAGTATGACCTAATGAGTCTCTGGATTTGCTCAATGGTGTCTGCTGTTAAGTTCCCCTTTTCATTTCTTTTTTCTTTTTCTTTTTGACAGGTGCAGTGAACTTTATTGATGGTACTCAAGAGAGCAGGGTTCCCTAAGCCCCTTCATTCTGGGGGTCTGGGAAGGAAACTGTGAGGGAGATTAGTGTCGGGGGTTGTTGGACAGGGACTGCTCAGCAGCTAGGGCCTCTCTCTTGCTCATGTCCTTGCTGGGGGTGGATGGTCCAGGATGGGCTCTTACTCCTTGGAGGCCATGTAGGCCATGAGGTCCACCATCCTGTTGCTGTAGCCGAATTCATTGTCATACCAGGAAATGAGCTTTACGAAGTTGTCATTGAGAGCGATGCCAGCCCCAGCGTCAAAGGTGGAAGAGTGGGAGTCACTGTTGAAGTCGCAGGAGACAACCTGGTCCTCGGTGTAGCCCAGGATGCCCTTCAGTGGGCCCTCGGATGCCTGCTTCACCACCTTCTTGATTTCGTCATACTTGGCAGCTTTCTCCAGGCGGCATGTCAGATCCACGACGGACATTGGGGGTAGGAACTTGGAAGGCCATGCCAGTGAGCTTCCCGTTCAGCTCTGGGATGACCTTGCCCACAGCTTTGGCAGCACCAGTGGATGCAGGGATGATGTCCTGGGCAGCCCCACGTCCATCATGCCACAGCTTCCCGGAGGGGCCATCCACAGTCTTCTGGGTGGCAGTGAACTATATTGGGGCCTATAGAGTCTGCTGGAGTTGTAGGGAAGGGCCGGCCATGGGAAGGCGGATCTTCTCCCCTTTTTTGAGACAGGCTCTCTCTATATCTAGTTCTGGCTAGCTTGAAACTGCCTATGTGACCAAGACTGTCTCAAGCTCAGAGATCTGTGTACCTCCTACTCCCTAGTGCTGAGATTAAAGGCATGCATCACCAGGCCTGGTTTTTCATTTCTTAACAATGTTGTTTCTTTTATTACTGTTGAGTTCAAGTTGTCTTGTTTGTTTTTGATTTCAGACAAGGTCTCTTGTAAATCAAGGATGGTTGAATTAATGAGGTTGAATTAATGATCTTCACTGCTTCCATCACTCAAGTGCTAGGATTACAGTTATGGTCACTATGCTTGGCGTATGTGTTGCTGGCTGTCACAACCAAGCTTCATGTGTGTTAGCCAGGCACTCTTCCAACTGAACTGCTTCTGTTTACTTTTTAAGGCTTATGACTTCGGGGCTTCCAGAATGTTGTTAGAGCAACCTCTGGCATCTCTTCCAAACCAGAGACCAGAAATCACTCACTCAGCGAGTAAGTGAAAACAAGTTTTGCTGTTTTTCCAATGCTTGTTTTCCTTATCTCTAAGTTTTATTTTTGGAGTTCTTTCAGAAGTCATTTCAAGACTTTCCCTCCTCTTCCACATGTGGCCAGCAGAGGGCACCCTGACACAACATTTGTATCTGGATGGAAACGAAGCCCTTTTCACCCTAGGAAGAAGTGGTCTCCAGTCAGGGTTCTGAATTGAGGACAGGTGGGGTGTTGATTGTATGAGGTGGTACTAACTCGAGACACCTGTGCAGATGAACATCAGCTGAGGACTGACCTGTGGCCACTGGGAGAGGCATTTTCTTAACACTGGTAAAGGTTTGACCTCCAGAACCCATAGTGGCAGTCATAAACTGAGTCCTGACCTGTTACACCATCCATAATGGGCTCTTACTGGGACTCCTCTTGGCTGTCCTGTTGTTCTGTGTCATGGAGATCCTGCTGTTTCGGATCTGTAGGTTCATCCCCTTCGTCTGACCTCCTCGTGGGCATGTAGACAGACAGCTCATGGGCCCAGAGATGCCTGGGCCCTTTCGTTTGGCTATCAGGCTATTGAAACAATGATCTCCAAGGAATTGGAATTTCTCCAGCAGTCATGTGTTGGGGAAGGAAAAGGCTGAAGCCTAGGGCCAGCCACAGAGGAATTTGCTTCCCAGGAAGATTTCAAACAGTGCACATTGCCTTGCCCTGGCAAGCTCTCTGAGACATCATTCTGAGTGCTGGGCAGAGTGGTGGCCTCTGACACTTTGTTAGACTACCTTGTAGGGAAGACTGGGCTAGCACTGCCACGGAGGGCCATGTCTGTGGCATGGCCCTATAGTAGCCAGGGTCTGAGTCAATGTCTGGGGCTCCTGTTACCATCAATGGCATGACCAGGGTATGGTCAGCACCTCAGACCATGTCTGTGTCCAAGGACCATGCTACTGCTGGGGCCATGCTGATCTGGGTGGCCAGTGCTGCCACCTGGAGCCTTGGAGATGTCCAGGCTTGGGCCGCTGTCAAGGGTCGTGTCTGGGTCCATGGTCCTGCTGCAGCTGGGGTCTGTGATGATGTCCATGGCCCATGTTAGCACAAGGGGTCATTGGAACCATGCTGTGCCGAGCCAGCCCTGTCCTTCATTGGCTCTGGGATAGCTGGCCCTGCCCCTCACTGTAGGCATGCATGTCATCTGAGCAGACACTAAAGCTGACCTTGTGGTTGGGATGCAGGTGACCTGACCCAAAGGGGGTGAGGGCAGGAGAGATGACCCCATCCTCCCTCATATACCTCCTACAGCAATTGGGAGAGAGGGCCCTGCACCTCACCTGGGCAAAACAGTAGAGCTGGCCCTGGTGATATGAGTATGGGGGACCTAGATCCAAGGACCTGAGACCAGGGGAACTGGCCTCACTTCTTGCTACAGCTGCACTGGGTGAGCCAGCCAAGGCTGGCGAGCTCATCTGGGTAATGATGATGAGGGGAAGCCTGTGGACAGAACAACTCAGGTCCAGAACCAGGGTATGAGTTGGACCACCCTCATCTCATCTATGAACTGTTAGAGCATGTGAAGGGGACAGAACTACAGATCCAAAAACAACAGGATCTCCATGACACAGGACAAAGGACAGCCAAGAGGAATCCCAGTAAGGGCCCATTATGGATGGTGTAGCAGAAACCAGAGGCCTCAATGTCCAGGAACTCCCTCTGTGGACCAGGCTGGCCTGGAACTCACAGAGATCTGCCTGCCTCTTCCTTGCCAGTGCTGGGATTAAAGGTGTTTGCTACCAATGCCTGGCCTAAAATTGCCAAACTCTTAGACAAGTTAAGTAAAAGAAAGAGAGAAGACCTCAAATTTTTACAATTAGACTCAAAAGAGGAATATTAATAGATAGCACTGAAATTTGGAGGAGTATTGAAAATGTGTATCCTGATAAATTAGAAAACCTAGAAAAAAATGGATTAAATTTTTAGATACGTGCGAACCAAAAGAATATGAGCAACCCCCAAAAAATGAAAGTGAGCAGTGAAACTGGAGGAGGAATAATCTCCAACAAAGACAGTCAAAGTACTGAGTGGATTAATTGCTGAATTGTACCCCATCTGCAAAAAAGAGCTAAGACCTCACGCTACCCCACACAATTAGAAGGGAAGGAATGCTTCCAAACCCATGGCAAGAAGCTACAGCCACTCTGATATCAAAACTGGGTGATGATACCACACAAAGAGAAAGCTACAGACGATTCCTTGATGAACACAGATGCAAAACCATCAGTAAAACACACCAGCAAACCAAATTAAACAACAGAATAAAATGATAAAAACCCCAGGAGCAAGGTGGTTTCATTCCAGGGATGCTGGGTTAATGGGTTAATGCAATACAGTAAACAAGTGTAACAATGACAAATTAAATAATCATCTCAAATGAATATAAAATTGGTTTCGACAAAATTCAATATCCTTCATGACTGAAAACCCTAAAGTAATTTGGGACAGCAGGATCAGCTCTCCCCATGATAATACCTTTCTATGAAAAACCAGCAGTGAATATTAATTATACCAAAATGCAGAAAAGTAGACAGGATTTCTTCTAAACCAGGAACAAGGAAGTCTGTCTACTCTGACCACTAATTTGGTGGTCGCAATAAGGTCCTGAGCTGTGCTCTAGTATCTTGCTTGCTTCCTCCCTCCCTCCCTCCCTCCCTCCCTCCCTCCCTCCCTCCCTCCCTCCCTCCTTCCCTCCCTCCCTCCTTTTATCTTTTTTCTTTTCAGATAGTCTCAAGTCATGAAGGCTTGCTTTGAGTTCACTATGTAGCCAGTGACAACCTTGAACCTCTGATCTTCCTACCTCCACGTCCTGAATGCTGCGATTATAGTTGTGAGCCACCACACCTAGTTCATGTTGGGATCAAACACAGGTTTTTGTACACACCAGACAAAGACTCCACCAACTGAGCTACACATCTAATCTGAAAAGTGTGTCCCAAACGTGAATCCTTTTTGTTTTACTTTTGGTGGTGATGAGTTCTTGGTTCATCGTTTTGGCAACAGTAAAACCAAATGGCTTGGAAACTTTGAGTGTCCAGTAGAACTTCCTGCGGGGACATCTATGTAAACCAGGAATGGCTGGTGCAGTTTAGGAGCTAAATTTTAAGTTAAGTTGTATTAAATTTAAATATGAACATATAGAGTTGGTGCTACTGTGTTGGTTTCTGCAATGTCACAATAGTTCTCTTCGACTCCTCGTCCTGGAGTATCACGGGTAGTTTATTATTGCTCAGGGATTTGTAATGGTGGCTTTAATGTCAATATCTGGCTTAGCAAATATGGAGGAAATCCGCCCACAGCCCTCATATATTCCTCCTCGCTCTCTTTCAAATTCATGGCCTACTTTTCCATTAATTGTTACTGCATTCATATGTATATGTGTGGGTATGTAGGCATACACATATCTATCGCCAGATAGAACCTGCTCAGTCTATGTTATGTTACTCGTATGTGTGTTTCCAGGGATGACCATTTGGTAGTAGATACTCAGTTGGTGTGCTCTTCCCCGGGAAAGACTTATTTCTTAGTTGCTTGTAGTTCGTTGTGTAGAGTTGTGGCTAGTGGACATTTCCTGTTTAGTTTAGCACGTCTGTTGGTGTTGCCCTTGTTTGGCGGTCTTGTCAGTGAGACTTTACGGGTGTAGCTTCTGACATTAGTAGGAGGACAGCAACGAAAGACTCTTGCTCTGAGCATCCATCGCCTTTCTGAGTGACCACAGAACTTACTAGGTCCTACTTTCTCTTTAAATTAATCAATTTATTTTACATCCCAGCTGCACTTTCTCCTTCCTCCTCTTCTCCCATTCTCTCCCCCATGTCCCCTCCTCCTGCTCCTCCCACACCCCAGCTCACTCCTCTGTTTCTATTCAGAAAGGGTCAGGCCCCCTACGGGTGTCTACAAAGCTTGGCGTGTTGAGTTGCAGTAGCATTGAGCTCCTCCCCTTGTATTAAGGTGGGGCAAGGCAACCCAGTATGAGGAGTAGGTTCCGAAAAGCCAGCCAAAGTGTTAGGGACAGTCTCTGCTCCCATTGTTAGGAGTCCCAAGCTACACAACTAACATATATATGTAAAGGGCCTAGGTTGGTCCCATGCACGCTCCCTGAGTGCCAGTTTAGACTCTGTGAGCTCGTATGAGCGCAGGTTAGTTGTTTCTGTGCATTTTCTTGTGATGACCTTGACCCCTCTGGCTTGTACAATCTTTCCTTCCTCTCTTCAGCAGGATTCCCCCGGCTCAGCCTAATGTTTGGTTGTGGGTACCACATGAAGGCTCTCTGATGAGTAGTCATCAATCTATGAATATAGCAGAATGTCATTAGGCATCATTATGATGTTATTTTTCCCCCCCAATTGTGTTTGGTTCTGTCCTAGATATCTGGGGCATCCAGCCTCTGGGTCCTGGTACTCCAGGCAGCGTCATGGAATGGGTCTCAGGCTGGACCAGTCCTTGGTTGGCTACTCCCACAATCTCTGAGCCACTTTTACCCTGCCCTCTGCCCTCCCTCCACTGGAATTCTTGCCTGGTCTCACACAATTCAGGCTACATATCCACTATTACTAGAAGTCTTAGCTGGGGTCATCCTTACGGATTTCTAGGAGTTTTCCTTATACCAGGTTTCTGCTTCCCCCTTCTAGTCATCTCTTTCAGGACCCCCTCCCCCACCTCCCCACACTTCCTCAACCAAATCCCTCATGCTGCTATCCCTCCCTGCCCCAAGTACACCCATGAAATCTATTTCCACTTCCCTGGGAGATCCATATGCCATCCACCACCCCCTCCTTGTTACCTAGCCTTTCTGGGCCTATGTATGTAACATGGCCATCCTTCACATTACAGCTAATATCTGCTTATACATGAGTACATACCATGTTTGTCTTTCTGGTTCTTGGTTACCTCACTCAAGATGATTTTTTTTTTTTTTTTAGTTCCATTCATTTGCTTTCACATTTCTTGATACCATTGTTTTTAATGTCTGAGTAGTACCCCATTGTGTAGATGTGCCACATTTTCTTTATCCATTCTTCAGTCGAGGGACATTTAGGTTGTTTCCAGGTTTTAGCTATTACAAATAACGTTGCTATAACATAGATGAACAAATGTCCTTGTGGTATGCTTGAACATTCTTTGGGTATATGCTTAAGAGTGGTATAGCTGGGTCTTGAGGTAGATCGATTCCCAGTTTTCTGAGAAATTGCCGTATTGATCTCCGAAGTATGGGCCCAAGTTCTTAAAAGTTCTATCACCTCCCACATCACTACCACCCTGGGGGTCAGGCTTTTAATGCACAGACCTTTGGAGACTCTTTGGAGACTCCAGACCCAAGTATCACAGGGTGCCATGCTACCCTCTCTGGGCTTCGCTTTTCCATGAATCTACTGTCTCCTTCACTCAGCAACTCCTCTGTCCCCAAAGCCCAACCATGCTGTAAAGATATGAAGAATACGTGATTCAAAAGCCTGTGAATCACAAGGTTACATAAAGAAGTTACTCTAATCTAAATGCCCCCGGATACATGGAACACACCCAGTCCCTCCCGGAAGGAAATCTGGCAGGTCCCCAGGCTGCCTGCCCTGGGAGGCACACAGGGGGCAAGGGCCAGGTCCCAGCAGCATCTCCAGCAAGACAGACACGGGGAGGTCATGGAGCAACTCTTCGTTTCTGTGGGGCTGCTTGTGTGCCTGGTCTGCCTTCTGAAGTGTGTGAAGCTTTCCCAGTACCTCTTGCTGAGCTTCTGGAAGGTTCCACCAAGGGCTTTCCTGCAATCGATGGGGCAATGGGCAGGTAAGAGGACTGACTCCATGAGTCTTGCTGATTTGATTGCTCCTGTTTCTTATTCTTATGTCTCAGAATACCCACCTCTATGACTTCACGTAAAATGCAATGTTGTAGCTAGATAGCATGAGTGGAATTAGAACTATCTGAAAATGAAGGTGTGGGTCAGGAGCTTGTAGAGGGAGACTGCCCCATGCATCTGTTACTTTGCTAGATTTTTCTCCTTTT